GCCCCAAAAACCTACAACAACCATCCTCCCATGACTTTCTACCTAAAAATCACAACAATACACGCAAAACAAAAAACACCCTGATCACCATATTCACCCAATTTCCTGAAAAGGACAAAAAGTTGATCCTACCACTACAAATATTCAACTACCCCACACACTACACCAGAACACAGACAGGACTCTAACTCCTGTCCTCTGAAGATACCAGCCACAGAGACTGGCGAAACGTTAGGAAGAAAAACCTTCGAAACATGGCCCCAAAAACCTACAACAACCATCCTCCCATGACTTTCTACCTAAAAATCACCTACAAATGGTTTCAGTGCCTTCTTCTGATGGCATTCTTGATGGCAATCTGCCCAAGGCTATACAGGTGTCACAACCCCACCGGCCACACATGATCCGGGTTGACCTTGGCTGTCCCCTCTTCCAGGAGGCAAACTGGATATTCAAACTCATAGCCCCTGTCTCCACAACCAGGCACCCAACCTACAGAGCTATTATTGACAACAGAGCTGTTTAAGCAGGCTCTTGGCAACATCTTAAGTTGATCATGAGACCTGTGCATTGTACTTGTAACTATGGCAATTGATGGTTTTTATTATTTATTTATTTTATTTATTTATTTATTTGATTTATGCCCCACCCATCTGGTCTAAAAGAATACTCTATACTAATGTACATTGTGTTTATTATGTTATGTTTCATGTAACTATGGCAATTGATGGTTTTTATTATACTAACGTACATTGTGTTTATTATGTTATGTTTCACAGTTTTATTATCAAGTGTCAACCTTAACTTGCCTTTTCTTTTAGTTTGTGGAATTATGCTTTTTGTTGTTTTACTGGTTACATGCTCTCCTTAATCATATAAACCACTCTGCGTAGTGTTCCACTAAATCAGGCAGTCTACAAGCTCTAAAATACATAAATAAAACATACCAGTCCAGCCCTTACCCCTTCCTCTCCTTGTTACCCTTCAGTATTTTACCCAAATGCATGTATTGCCAGAGGCTGGAAAATGTACTCTTCTGGACAACAGAAGAGACAGGCCTGGCTGTAAGATTCTGGGAATTATGGTCTAAAAAGTATGTTTTCCAAATTCTGTGTGATACAGACATGGCATTGCCGGGTTAAATCTACATCTTTAAAACTAGACTACAACAAGGAAAACCTTTAGAAACCTTATAGGTAAAAGAAATAAAAAAATTTAAAAAGACAAAAACATGGTAGTACCTTAAAGACTAACTTCTACATTTTTAATGTGCGCTTTCATGGATATAATGCCTGTTCAGACTAACATGGCTACCCCTTCTACAACTATAACTTGAAAAAACCTGTTCTTTTTCCTAGTGAGGTGGGTGACCATTCTGTACCAAAATATCTATTGTTTCAACGGGTATGCCAACATATAGAGTAGCTCTGGTATGAGTTCCAATTTTCCTGGTTCACATTCGAGGTCTTACCTCCCTTATACGATGGTAAGAATACAGAACCTATCTTATAGGGGTGCTGTAAAGATAAATGAGAATGTACATGAAAGATCGGGGTACCCCGTAAGTCCCAGGTAAGTGGTTCTAAAAACGATCTCTCTTTGTAACGCTTACCATGAAGATTTAAAGAAGGCTTGTTATCTCCATTTTGCACTGAAAATGAGAAAAGAAGCTTGCCTAAAGCAACTGTGTTGTCGTTATCATTTAGAGTAACCCTTATCAGAACTCAGAAAAGTAACTTTTGTGCACTACAACTTCCAGAATTTTGTGACCATGCTGGCTAAGAGATTCTTGGCCTCCCTGCCTCTAAAAAATATGTTTCCAAGACCTGTTTTTTTATATAGCACTGCTTTAATTTCAGCTGCGTTGTATTCATGAGTGACACAGGTCACCATTCCTCCCATTTTATAGACAGGAAAACTGAGATAGTTCCCATATGTAAGGAGAGAAGGAAGGAGGTCAACCCACAGGATGTCCCGGGGATCTGGGACAATTCGGTCTCCGTTATGCAACAGGAGTTCAGCATCTCCCCATTAAAATCTCAAGCAGCAGATCAAGAAGAGACCTTGGCAAGCTTGAAACCAGCAGACAAAGACAATACAGAATTCAATGCACCCCCCATCTGAACTAGCTAAGGCTGTGTCCTCTTCTTTCTGCCAATCACCCTTGAGCAGCTGACACCAGGAGTGACTTAATTCACCTTCGTCACAGGTCTTTGGGCGAAGATCCGATCAAATATCCTTTCCAGATACTTGGTGATGAAGCCCTCGTACTCCAGCTTCATCTTGAGGAGGAGAGCGGGCCAAAGGCCTGGCTGCACGGCCACTGGAAGAGAAGCAAAAGGCAGCTTTACCAGAGATCCTCGCTCAAGAGGCGACACTCATGCGCCTCGTGGCCGACACCCCTCTTGACTCACCGAGAGAAGGGTGGCTGCTTACAAGCAGCATTTCCAAGGCCAGCTTTTCTTTCTCATCCAGATCTTCTTCCAGACCCGACACGCAAGAGATCACACATAGGGCTTCCTGAAGGATGCGGGGAGGGACGTACGTCTTCCCCTGCTCCGACAGTTCTCCTGACTCGGTGACCAAGGCTTCGGCGGGAAGCACCTAAGGAACCATGAATGTGACACTGATGAGCGAATCACTCCCTGAATCAAATGCCAGGCTGATGGAAAAAAAATATCTTAGAAGGAAACAGTAAAAAAAAAACAGTGACAGTTTTTTTGAAATGTGCATTTGGGGAGGATCGCAGGAGTTTGGTGACTTTTCCTCCCCTTTTTTTTTCTTTTCTGGCTTGTTCATGGCTTTCCTGCCTAGGGAGCCCATCAAAAGTGCCCCTAATGCTTTAGGATGGATAGCAATTTATGATGACTTTATTCATCTAAACAATGTGCCTCTCATATTACAATGAGATTATTCATGTTTTGGTACAGATGCCAGCCACCGGTAACATTTAGCAAACATTGAAGCAAATTATTCTTAAATGAAGAACTTGTATTAAGAACGTACAGAAGAAGATCTAATAGGACAATTACGTTTGTCCGTAGCTTAGAGCAACAGCGAGTGTTGTGGCATATTAATCTTAGATAACAATAATAATAATGGCTGTTGTGGGTTTTTCGGGCTCTTTGGCCGTGTTCTGAAGGCTGTTCTTCCTGAAGAACAACCTTCAGAACACAGCCAAAGAGCCCGAAAAAACCAAAACAACCATTAGATCCCGGCCGTGAAAGCCTTCGCGAATACAATAATAATAATAATAATCTCAGAACGGCAGAGCTGGAAGTGAGCCTTTAGATTAATGATTCTCAGAACTGCAGAGCTGGAAGGGAGCCTTTAGATTATTGATGTTCAGCCCCTGCCAAGGAGGCGCCGTGGGGCGGGGGGAATTCGAACTCCCAACCTCTGGATCCGCAGCCAGAGACTTAAACCACACAGCTATCCAACAGTTTCCATATTAAAGACCATCAAGTTTTAGCTACCAAAGTCAATAAGAAAATACTGAAATATTGAAACTGCTGGTCCAGATCACGGGTTGAGGGCCAATACTTTACGCCCGGGGGTTGTATTCAAAGAGCAAAAGGGTGGGGCCAGAAATACCAGCCAGCCTATTTCAGATTAAATCTCTTCTTGCTACTAAGGAAGCCTTTAAGAGTGGCATTTTGGTCTTTTTGAATGGGGGGAAAAACACACACAAAAGTGGAAAAACGTCAGACAGTGATGTCACAAGGAAGGGGGTTGCGTCAGTATCCGGGGACCTTCAGGGAGTCTGTACTGGATCCCAGGAGGGCCAAATTAGGATCGGAGATTCCCATCTGGTTGCTGGAGCTCTTTAACACAGAGTCCCAAGAGAGGAGGGTGCCTTCTAGATCTATTGCTGAAAACCCCCATCGTTCTCAGCCAGTAGCTATCTTGACTACCCACTGTGTTGACTAGCAACAATGAGAATTATGGTCCAGTCTATCAGAGGGGCCCCCCAGGATGAGGAAGACAAGGGTAGCCCCCTTAAAAACAGGCTGTTCATATATACCAGGCTCCTAACGCTTAAAGCACACTCTGGGCAGTTTACAATTTAATTATGCACGCTCCAAATGGCTCCCCCAGCAACCTGGGCACCCCATTTACCAACTTCAGAAGGCTGGAAGGTCACCTCTAGCCCATTACCTGGGATTGAACCCAGGTCTGTTGAGCTGCCGTCCCGCCTTTAGCGACTGCGCCACGAGGCTCCTTATACCCCTTTTCCACTGATTCGATCTACGCCAAGCCTCTTTCTAAAGGTCTTCTTACCTTATGAGAACCCAGAACCGTTTTCATTTCTTCCAAGAGCCCGTAAGCCAGTTCGAACCCTCGAGGCGGAGACAAGAGCTTTCTCACCGTCTGCTGGGCAAGCCGGCGGACTCCCCAGGGCCGGCTGAGGAGGACCGCAGTGAGTGCTTTGTGATACTGCCTAAAAGTGGGGGCAGGAAATAAGGCAGAAGGGGTGGGGGGGAGCAGAAGAGAAAAAGCAAAACCGTTCCGTCAAGCCGAGGGAAAAGGCCACCCTCTTGAACATGGCACAGGGAGTACAACGCTGAGCCAGGCCTGGGGGTGATCCGGCTTTTAGTCTCCACTGTGCCTTGAAACTCATGGGTGACCCAGGGAGAGGAAACATCTCTCCCCCCGCCTGACCAAATTCACAGCATAACTGCAAGCATAACAAAGGAGGGAGGAAAAGGAGAGCTCAATGGACATCATCTGGCACTCCTGCTAGGCGCTGTCAAGTGACCTCCGTCTTTATGGCCACCTCATGAAGGAACCATCGTCAAGAGGCCCTGCCCTCAACAGCCCTGTTCATCTCTTGTAAACTCAAGGATGTGGTTTCCTTTAGGGACTCAATCCATCTCGTATTGGGTCTTCCTCTTTCCCTGCTGCCATTCAATTTTCCAAGCATGACTGTCTTTTCCAAAGCATCCTGCTTTCCCAGGATGGACCCAAAGTAGGACAGCCTCAATTTCCACATTTTAGCCTCCAGAGACAGGCAAATAAATAAATCTACACATGACAGATATTTAATATATAAGGACGTTGAGGTGGCCACGCTGTGAGCAAGATCAGAGGCCTTGCTGGGGAGCCAGCGTGATGTAGTTGTGTTCTGGACTGTCGGTCTAACACTTAAGTTATAGACTCTGAAACCCATCGAGGCCTGAAACTCACAGGGCAACCTTGGGCTGTACAGGGAGAGCAAAGCGTACGCTCCAAGCTCACCCTGACGAAAGGCAAGACAAAGAAATAGTGGCTAAAATCCTGTTAGCTGCGTCCATAGGCATAAATCCTGGCAACAAGCTCCTGCAACTTAATAAGTCGTATGATCTGGCCCGCAACAGCCAATGATTGACGACACATGGACGTCTCAATACGATTTTGGCCAGCAAAGAGTTGCAGGACGGCTGAAGAACTTACTGGGGAGCAAGGTAAACAGACCAAATAATACATACTGGACTTTAGCACCAGGCAGCCGATGTTCGTGATCCAAGAGAAGGCGCTCGGTCAGCTGTAAAACGGTGCACATCGCTGCAGACGGGGATAAAAAAGGAAGTCAACTTAAAAACACACACACACAGCGATGACTATGATTCCACTGCCATTCTATGGGAACCAATCATCATTTCCCCTGAGAATCACTGTATTCTCTTTTTGAAAAAAAGAAAAACAGGTTCAACTTTCTAGTCCTTACACTTGCAAAGGAATGCTTCGAGTGTAAGGGAAGGAAAGGCAGAGGAAGACCAGTGAAGGTGTTGCCACATGCCATCATGTCAACACGAATGCATGGTGAGCCTATGAATGGGCAGCCTCCAGTCCTCCTGTCATCAACAATGCTGCTCAGCTTTGGCTAATTCAAGTGCTGTGTCTCCCTTTACTCAGTTCGCCCACCTCGCGTTTGGTCCTCTTTTTCTGCTGCCTTTTTCCAGCAGAAGAAGCCAGAAAAGCAGCTGAACAAATGGAAGACCAGCAACCACAGGGAGGAGGTGATTCAGTACTCTTGAGTAGTATAATACTATAGTAACAAAACTGCAGAGTTGGAAGGTACTCTATGGCTCATCAAGACCAGTCCTTGTCAAACAGTACTCTTGAGTAGTATAATACTATAGTCCCCATCAAAAAGCCACAGTGGAGAATCGAACTCCCAACCTCTAGCTCTTCTTAACTGTTAAAGCAGTATGACAATGGAACCCATGGCCTCAGGAGGTAACCAGCGCTCCAATGCTGGAGCCATTAAAGAGGAAACTGGACAACCACCTGCCGGAGCAGCTTTGATTTGGATTCCTGCCTTGAGCAGGGGGTTGGACTGGATGACCTTAGAGGCCCCTTCCAATTCCATGATTCTAGGATTCTATTTTCCCATCTAAACCAGGCTGTTGAAAATGAAGATACTCTTTAGCAACCAGGAGTGGATTTTGGCATGAAATGACCGTTTCATGAATTCAGTTTTGGAACTGACAAGACATTCCTAGCCTCATCCTCTGTTCAAAGGTATGCTCTTCTTTCGCTCCATGTGTATTTCTTTGGCACCGGGCTCTGCCTGCGGGAGAAACACTCTTCCGGTTGAAAACAAAGAGCGTCAGTCCGGCAACACAGCTCACCCTTCTCTTTTGAATGGAGGAAAAAGGAGAGCCAATGCGCTCAGCCGGGTGGATTCACAGAACGGTTTTGCAAAGCTGACCAGAGGCTGGAGGCAAGTTTTAAAAGATGAACCAGGAACAAGCTTGACCACTCACCCTCCTCTGAAGCAGTTTGCAGAAACTTCTCAGAAGTAAAAATCTGCTTTTTCTCATCCAGAATGAGCTGCCAGAAGCCGTTCAGTTTGTTCTCTGGAAAGGGAAAGAGATGGTGCTGGGGAGGGCTTCAAAGCAAACCACAACGTGCCCTAAAAACAAGGTTCCTGTCGTACAGGGTTAGGTTTGCATTCGTCCACAGTCTTGGCCGGCCCTACCATGAGGCAGAACGAGACAGTTGGCAGAGGTGACAGAACCTGGGGGGTCCTGAAATCCAGCCCACCGACTCAATGTTTGTTATTCTTAAACAGATGGGAAAAGTGCTTGAGGGCTTTCCTGCCTCCTGCATTTTTTTTAAAAAAATTAATTCTGGGTATGTATCATCTTGATTTGGTAGTGGGCACCATTTGCTGTTCTGTTTTGGGATGGTGCCGTCAATGGCAGTAGCGCCTACAACACCTCGCACACTGAAAACCAGGCAAATTCTTCTACACTAACAGGTCTAGAGCAGCTAATACATTTCAGTCCATGTGATAATTAAGCAATAAAGGGAGGAAGAGAGAGTGTAAAAATATTTTAACCCTCGTTTCTCCTTAAAAAGAATCCAAGGCAGCTTATAACAATTAAAAGACAGTATTTAAGCTAACTATAGTAAGTATACAATACTAGAAGGATGAAATGAACAAAATACTAAAAAACATAAGCAACGGCAAAACATATTCAATGCAATAAAGTACAACCATCCACTTAAAAACCCCACTCGGTAGCCAGTCACTCAGGGAAAGCCTGCCTGAAGAGAAGGGTCTTTGCCTGCTTGCAGAAGGGCAGCAAAGATGGGACCAGCTTGGCCTCCAGTGGGAGGGAGTTCCAAAGGCTGGGAGCAGCCACAGAGAAGGCCCTCTCCTGTGTCGCCACCAAATGTGCCTGTGGAGGTGGTGGAACCGAGAGAAAGGCCTCTCCTGATGATCTCAACACTTGAACAGGCTCATAAAGGGCAACGTGGTTCTCAAGATAGCTTGGGTCCAAGCCCTTTAGGTCTTTTGTAGGTTAGAATCAGCGCCCTGAATTCTGCCTGAAAATGGATTGGCAGTCAGTGGAGCTACTGTAACAGGGGTGTCATGTGACTCTTGTGTCCAGCCCCAGTTAGTATTCTGGACCTGCTGAAATTTCCTTCACGTTCCATAGGCGGACCCACAAAGAGTATAGCTTTGGCTATACTAAGATGACAACCTCATCTGACAGCTTTGCTACACCTTCACAGTCCACTTTCCATCTTTTTTCTTTTCTTTTTCTGTAACATGAAAAAGGCCAAGACTGCAGGACGAAGGGAGCAGAAGAAATCTGAATTAAACAACTCTGATTAAAACAAGACCCATGAACAAATCATTCCAAAGAAACCAACTCCCATGCAAACGGATACAGGTTTCCTTCCACCCTCTTGAGAGCTTACCCATTTGGGCATCGGCCACCGACAGCCGGCACAGGAGCAAAGCCGCTGCAGCTCCTTCCGTGACCAGGGGGACCTGAGTGCTTTGAGCTGACGCTTTTTCCACCGTCTGGATCAGGACTGGCAGCAATTCAACCCCCTGCATCAGTAGATTGCCTGCAGAGAAAAGTGACCAGGGGGACCTGAGTGCTTTGAGCTGATGCTTTTTCCACCGTCTGGATCAGGACTGGCAGCAAGTCTACCCCCTGCATCAGTAGATTGCCTGCAGGGGGAAAAAAGAGAAACATTTGCAAATGGGAAGTCTTTCTGGTTTATATCGGAGGATGACACGGACTTAGGAGCGTGAAGCAGGACCAATGCCTGCCACACCCAGCAGAAAAAAAATCTCTGGTGCCTTAAGTTAGAAGTTTGTGGTCTGAGCCAGAGGGAAATCCAGAATTCGTCATAGGAACCAGCTCTGGACTGCAGATTGTCCAGCCAGAAGCAAAGGAGAAGCCAATGTCCCTCTCTGTTTCAGATACAGAATCCAGCTTGTCTGGTAGTTGAACCTTACTCCAGCCTTAGACAAGGCACACGGAGATCTCAGGAACTGTCTGCTAGGGCTGGGATTTTCATATTTATTGATTTAGTCTGAACTACAAGATCAAGAAGGCTGCTGGAACTGCCTCAGTTAGAACAGTAGAGGTTTTACTCCAAACTCATGTCTTTTATATACCGTATTTTTCGCACCATAAGACACACTTTTCCCCCACAAAACAGGGGGGGTGGAAAGTCTGTGCATCTTATGGAGCAAAGAAAACAGATTATATTTTCCTGTTTTCTTCTCCTAAAAAATTGGTGCGTCTTATGGAAAGGTGCATCTTATGGAGCGAAAAATACGGTATGTATTGGAAGCCGCCCAGAGTGGTTAGAAGACTAGATGGGCGGGGTATAAATCAATCAATCAAACAAACAAACAAACAAACAAAAAAACAAATAAATAAAGTGCGTGCGTGCGTGCGTGCGTGCGTGCGTGCGTGCGTACGTACGTACGTACATACATACATACATACATACATAAACTATTCATTCATTTGCTCATTCATTCCATTCAAAATACTTCCACTTTCTCCTTAAAAAGGTACCCAAGGTGACTTATGCCATTAAAATATAATATTTAAAAGCTAAATAAGTATGCAAATATTTTTTTAAAAAAAGAATTAAACAAGTATTATATTAAAAACGGCGAGAGAAATCAAGACTAAAAACACGTTTAAAAGCAGTAAGTCAAAATAATCCACTTAAAACCCATCACTCAGGTGGCCAGTCATTTTCAGGCAGCGGATAAGTGAATCAGCGGATCCTGACCCCACGGATGGAAGGGGTGTGTGTCCTACTGCATTTAACCACAAAGAGTAGAAACTGGTTCACAGAACATTTGGAGAAAAGCTCACTCCGCAATGAAGTTTATTTAGCCTTGGCACTACTCTCACAGCAGCGTTGCTGTGGAACTTCCCTGTGGAAACTTCCAGTGAATTGGCTATAAATCCAGAGCTTAGGAAAGTTACTGTTTTTGTTAAGAATTTTGGGAGCTGTCATCCCAAAATGTAGCATTTTCATTGCTCTAGTAAATCCTACCTTTGAAAGACGCCAGCATGCACTGGAGGTATGCGTGCCTGACTGCCGAAGTGCTGGTTTTAAGGCCAAACGCCTTCTTGAACCACTCGACCAACTTCTTGGGAACTTCAGTGGTAAAGCGGTGACACCAGAGAGCAAGGACCGATATGGCATGCACAAGAGTGCCTTCATGGACTGGGGAGAGAATTTAAAAATAATAATATTTTTTAAAATTATGCAATTCTATAATCATTATAGCTTTCCCCTAGAAAGCTGGGCTGAGGCTGAAGACCAGGTATGTTTGCATGGACATTTTGCTGAGTTTTTTTCCTGGGCTTTCTTTTTGTCTCTCCCACCACATGGCCTGGGGGTGGGGCTTTCTGCTTTAAATGAGCGTGTCCCAGGACTCTTCTCAAATTCTCTGATTCTATCTCTGGCCCTAATATGGTAAATAGGAAAGCCAACTAGATTTGCATGCATCTGGGAGGCAGGAAAGTTCTAAGGGTTGGATCATACGTCCATGCTATTAAAGAGCAGGCCGGGTAGGTGGGGCTCGTCAGACATGGAAGGCAGCCCATCTAGAAGAAGGAAAACTCAAATTTCAAACCTCCACTGCCTTGTGGCTATATCCACTCATGGAAAAGGCTTCAGGAGTTAACCTCGAGGCAAAATCCAGAGCTGGAGTCCAGAGGCAGTTTGTATCATTCTGCCAACTCCTGCGACGTCGATGGAACCAGTTGTATTGGCTCCTGTCTTTCCATTGACCATTTCAGCAACGTGGAGAGGGGGGATCTGCTGCTTGGGTAACAACCTATCCTCCATATTAATTTACCCAGGCTTCATGCTCTGGAGAGGACACTCCTTGATTCAGAGCATGTTACCATAGTCTCTCATGACTGAAGGATGCCTATGCTAATCATTATATCTGCCATGCATTCTCCACCGAAACCAGCAATGGACATGAGCTCCTTGCTTTAGGTTACGCCACAGAAAGCCCCGCCTCTTGCTGTCATCATCCTAATTCCGGAAGAAGCAAAGCAAACTGATCAAACCAGAACCGGCATGTGTGTCCGAAAGCCGTTTGTGCTCCCTTGTCAGCTGCAGCCCCATGGGATTCACACTACCTCGTTACTGCCGTTTAATCCCACTCTAAATGTCATTGCTTGCTCCTTGGGTTTTGTGGTTTGAAACAGTACTACTCAGAATTCCTGGCCAGCGAAGGCACTCGTCCGAAATGAGGCAGACCGTTTTAGCATTTGAGTAAATGACGTCCCAAGATTCATTAGGTTGGAACCACGATATTAAAGGGTCAAATCCTCACGAACTGTCGTACAGATGTAACGTAGAAAGAACATGGCCACTACATTATATGTAGGGTAGATACACACTGAAATTACAGGAGCAGGACAATGTAAGATCGTAGCAATTTTCTGAGATGCAGCAGGGCGAGTCTACAGTAACATGTGTAACAAAACCTTCACCAACAACAGCAACCATAAACAGTTTGTGGCATCTCTAGAACGCACAGATTTCTGACTGCGGGCGTTCCCATGCGTTCCGTGGCTTGAGGCACCTGGAATACAACATTGAGGCCACAGGCTTGCATTCCAATTGCACTCTGCTGTGGGGATGGGAGCAAAGTAAAGCAGGATACGAAGGGGAGAACCAGGTAGCAGGACTTCTTGTCAAGTCAGATTTAAGACACACCGGTGACTCGACTCAGAGTTTTTTCCCCATGACTCGGAGTCATAAATCGGAACCCACCCACCTCTCTTTTTTTTTTCTGGGGAAAAAAAACCTTGCTTTTCATAGGGACTCCGACTTGGCGACTGGGACGTGGTACCAAAGACTCGGATCTGGGCCTTGGACTCAAAGATTTGCCAACATTCCTGGCGAGAACTGATTGTTAACACTGGTAACGGACTTGAAAAGCACTGATTACCTAAGTATCTTGGCAACGAGCAGAGAAATTAGCTAAGTCAATGAGTCTGCAGGCAATGCACCTTCATTACCACTTTTGTCTTTGAAGTGTTAAAACTATGCTTATTGCTAAGATGTTTATATAATCAATGTCTTGACAATTAACTACCTCTGTAAACAACTGTCACCTTTGTACCCTATGGAGAAAACTCTTCCTGCTTCCTGTATGTGTATGTACACAGAGAGAGACGTATTACAGTCTGTGCCTCAAACATAGATTGGAATCCACAAAAGCTCACAATAAAAATAAATCTCCAGGTCATAAAGGCACTGCAAGATCTTGTTTTCACCACCCCTTAAAACTATATGCCTCCCACACTTGTGGCAATCAGCTGCTATGTACATGCAAGTATTCACCCTTCCTCCCCGTCTCCAGAAGCTAATAGGAAGACTTCTTGAACACTATGTGCTTGCATGAGGAAGTGTCCTCTTCTGCTGAAGGCTCCCCGAGCAGGAATGACCAAAAAAGGTGCGGACGTCCTGATACTGTCATGCTGCAACTCCGAGCCTTCGACAGCATAACCAATGATGAGGGATGATGGGAGTTGTGGTACAGTATCTGGAGGACCAAACTCCCCACCACTACCCAACCAATCCATTTACTGCACAACCAACAGGCCACAGCACCATCACCCCGGAAGGAAATTCTGCTGGGCAGGTAAGTGGATCATCATCATCATCTTGTCTCTCTCTCTCTTTCCTGCTTGCTCATTCTCTCATGCACCTTTCTCTCCCCATAAATTTCTGACCCCTGATTCCCATTTCATCCTTACTTGGCAGATCACTAGAGAGGGTAGAATCCTGCTGCCGGTGCAGTGAACCTCGCCCTTGCAAAAGGCTTTTGAATCACGGGTCCACCAAATGAGGCTAAGTGTGACGTGTGGCCGTGAAGCTGAAGTTTGCCCAACACTGCCACAAGTCACGTGGTCGAATTAATCCTCTTGGCCTTATGATCAGGACACGGCAGAAGGATTGCACCCAACAAGGGCCGCCTGCCCTACCTGCGCTTCCCAGACTGAGGGCCCTGACTTCAAGGGAGAGATCAAGAAACCAGGCCTTCTCAGGGGTGGCGCCCTGCCTCTAGAATGAATGACCACCTGAAATATGCCTAGCCACACACACAAACCCCCACCGCCGTGTCTTTCAAGAACTCCTCAAAACATTTTTATTTTGGCAGGTTTTCTCAAAATTTGCCAACCGAAAAGCGGCCGAGAGCATCGCCCTTTTATATTAACGCTTTCAATCTGCTTTTTAAATGTTTGCCGATTTAGTTTAATTTAGTTTAAATTCAATTGCATTTTGACTATGTTATGTTCTTTATGTTACTGCTATCGTTGGGAGCTGCCTAGACACCCCCAGTCATCGGTACAACAAACAAACAAACCCTGTCTTTCTAATGGGGTGTTTTACTAAGACTCCTAGATTTTCATTTACTTCTTGTCTTGAGCTTTTGTCTGTTTTTTAGTTTTGTGTTGGGGTGTGCGTGTGCCTGGCTATCGCGAGCCCCTCAATTTTTTTTATTTTTTATTTTTTAGCAGAAAGATCTCAGTTACATCTTAAGAGAGAAGGAAAGGAGAAAGAGAAAGATCCTTACCTTCCTGCTGAAGAAAAGGGATGAAAAGTTCCGTCATGGTTCCACTGACAACTTGATTGGATGACCCAGAAACGGCATGATGGCTGCAACTGCCAATCCCTAAAAACAGAGAGAAGCCCAAATTTAGAATAAAAAGTACTACTATATTCCCCTACCTCCCACATGACCTGCACCCATCACCTGAATGAATACCAGCAACGTGATAATAATTTTGGACTAAATGTTTTACTAGACATTCTTAATAAAAACCGAGCAGGCAGTCGCTCTGACTGGTCTCGCCTGGTATCCTTACCTGAGAGGACACTGACTTTCTGCGCCACAACGGTCAGCTTGCCCTCAGCACCTAAAAAACAGGAAAAGATGGAACCGTCAGAAAATAAGCAGGGTTATCGCGAAGTCGGGAGGAAGACCAGCTTCGCCCACTAAGTGCACAGCCTCCTCCACTTCGGCACATGAGTAAATCCCGCTCTGCTGAATGGACGTCAGTGTCCACAGCATCCCAAAACAAGAAGCAGCCTTCTCCTGAGTGAGACCCCAGCTTCCTGACAGTCCACTCTTGACTGTTAGAAACACGTTCCAGAGGTTTAGAAAGGGCTCCCTCTTTGCACTGTCAGGAAATCCGTTCGTTTTCCCTCTTGGCCTCCCATCCAAGAGTCTGCCAGGCTTGACCCTGCTTAGCTTCCAGAACCAGACGGGTTCATGTGTTCAGGATGGTACGAAGGGCAGACATTTCATTTTGGCTTGCTTTTTTGTGTATCCTAACCAGCACGTCCTCTAAGGTTCAGGCCCCGCTGCGCGACTCCTCCTCCCCGCGAGTTGGGTTCTGTAGAGACTGGAACCTAACGCAACTGCTGCACAGAGGAGGAAGACCACTGGGTGGAGGGAAGCAGAGTCGTGCGTGTGCGCGCCCAGCTTAGCGGGAACCTTGATCATAACAGACTGGATCAAGTTAAGCAAAACGCCCACTGTGGATGCTCACAGAGTCGGAAGAAGAGGCCCAGAGCAGAAGGACATGGCCCAGGAGAAGGATGGGGTAGAGGACGCAAAGTCATCCCTAGCAAGTTGGCAGCAAAGCGACAGATGACCGGCTGCCTAAGTTTTTTTTGGGGGGGGGTATGTGTTAATGGATGGCCGTGCCCGCTTACTGCTTCGAATGCATTTTTGGTGTTGCTTTTGTTTACCATTTTATTATTATTATTTATTTTATTTATATCCCGCCTATCTAGCCAACTCAGGACCACTCTAGGCGGCTAACATCAGGTAATGAAAGTATACATACATACAACAACTTAAATAATAAAAACTTTACAAAAATAGAAACCAAGTGGAGCGGAAAAGAAAAGAAACATCAGGAATTGTCTGGAGGAAAGGCCTGCTGAAACATCCATGTCTTCAATTGCTTCTTAAAGATACCCAGTGAGGAAGCCCCACAAATCCCAGGAGGTAGATTTTTCCAGAGGCGAGGAGCCACCACCGAGGCCCGATTTCTTGTCTTCTCCTTCCGGGCCTCCCTCAGCGTTAGGCTCCTCAGCCTCACCTCCTGGCTCGCTCGAGTGACACGGGTAGAACTTGGTGGGAGGTATTTGTGTGGTATTTGTCTGGTCCTTTTTTTTATTTGTATACCTACTATTTTTAGTTTTAAATATTGTCTTTTAATGACGTAAGCTGCCTTCAGACTCCTTTTTTTTTAAAGGAGAAAAGCTGGGTAAAAATATTTTCATTCATTCATTCAACATTATGTTGTCGAATTCTCTCCACAGCACACAAACCAGAAAAAAAATAATGCAACTTTTTTTTTCTACCTGGAATGGGAGGTTGTGACCTGCACTAAAGACCCCAGTGGAGACATTCTATAGAGCAGGGGTTCCCAACCTTGAGTCCCCAGGTGTTCCTGGACTAAAACTCCCACAAATCCTGGCCAGTGGTGAAGGTTTCTGGGATATTTCATCATCAGCATTTTCACAAATCCTGGCCAGTGGTGAAGGTTTCTCGGATATTTCATGATCATCATTTTTTTATTACAGTCACAAGACCGGCAAGATTATATATTAAAAAAACCTTATAGAACATACAGAAAAAACTCTTATATGTAGTATATAAAACCTTCTTTCGGGGTGATTACAACATTTCCTCTCTAATTCTCATAGCAATCAAAAAATAATTTAGACACCCTAAACTCTCTAGTTCTCATAGCAATCAAAAAAATAATTTAGACACCCTGTCAGTAATATAAGGGGATGCACCCTCTAAGCAGGACAGTAACAAATCTGCTGGGCTACCGTGCAGAGAGACACCTATTAGTGGAGAAATTAGCTTCTTTCTACAATCATCATATACACCTATTAGTGGAGAAATTAGCTTCTTTTTACAATCATCATACATTCTGCGGTGAAAAATAACATGTTCAACTGATTCGATATCCTCCTTTCCACAAGGACAAGTTCGATCATTAAATGGAAGTTCCCTAAATCGCTCATCTAGTATAGGTGATGGCAATACATTAAAGCGGGCTAACATGAATGCTCTCCTTTATTTTGGAATGGACAATGCATATAAGTATGGAGCAACGAAGAGTCCATAGTTATTAATTTTATTGGAGATCAGTGGAGAGCAGCGTTTATTAGCTGCTGTTCTTAAATGCTGTAGGTCAAAGTCTATTAATCTCTGAACAACAAGGGATTTAACCTTCTGTATGGAGCAACGAAGAGTCCATAGTTATTAATTTTATTGGAGATCAGTGGAGAGCAGCGTTTATTAGCTGCTGTTCTTAAATGCTGTAGGTCAAAGTCTATTAATCTCTGAACAAGGGATTTAACCTTCTGGCAATCATAACTACCTACATCTTCTACTGAGAGACCTAATTCAAATAGCTTCTCCATCTCTCTTAACTACTGGGTGATACAGATATCCTAAAGCAGTAGAGAGAGAAAACTACCTGGGACTGCTAGAAAGTGTAGAATGTAGATGTAGCCACCATTTAAAGGCCGCGATCTATGCCTCACATTCTACTGATTGAATGTGCAGGTTTCCGTGTCTAAATCACACTGGCCATGTGACCACAGAAAGATTGTCTTAGGACAAAATGCTGGCTCTATGGCTTGAAGAGCGGGATGAGCGCCGCCCCCTAGAGTCGGACACGACTGGACAAAAATTGTCAAGGGGTAAAGGGGAACCTTTACCTTTACCTTAATCATAACTACCCACATTTTCTACTGAGAGACCTAATTCAAATAGCTTCTCCATCTCTCTTAACTACTGGGTGATACAGATATCCTAAAGCAGTAGAGAGAGAAAACTACCTGGGACTGCTAGAAAGTGTATATGTAGCCACCATTTAAAGGCCGCGATCCATGCCTCACATTCTACTGATTGAATGCCCAGATCCAGATTGATGGCAGCAAAACCCACACAAGAGGGAAGGCCCAAGAGTTTCCTTAAAGAAGGCAGATTGAAGTCTTTCGACTTGGTCACTGAATCCCAGTATCCAAAGAGATGCCATAAGTTGGTCCAGAATCTTGGCCTTACAAATTTGAATAGCAGAAGGGATATATTGACCCCCTTGCATGTAGGAAAAAACTTAGGATCTGCTGCTGACTAGAACTAGCTGAATTAGTCACCATCCTTCACTGTTCTACCCAAAATCCTGTGTTCTGCAGTTGCATTGCAGAGTTTGTGCTGGCCACTTGCTTAATGGCATCACCCTAGAAGGTCCATCTATATTTTTTTATGAGCACTTTTGACTTATTATAACTCTGCTGGCCAGCACCACCTCTGCTGGCCAGGATTTCTGGGAGTTGAAGGCCAAGAACATCTGGAGGGCCACAGTTCGACACCACTGCCCTAGAAGGTCCATCTATATTGTTTACGAGCTTTAGAGAACACCAGCACTTTTGACTTATTATAAATGATGATCAAATTATTCTTAGAGCAATAATTCCCAAAGCAGAAAGTAGCCTATTTAGCTCAGTTCTTGATAGTTGATAGCAGTACTGCACTTCTGGGAATTTTAGTCCAAGAACATCTGAGGACCCAAGGAACATCTAGAACCCTTGCTCTAGATCACAGGGTGTGTGTGTGTGTGTTCCTGCACCTTTGTGCATCACAGAGAACCATTATATATTAGCAGTGGTGATAAAATCAGTGGCCGGTGCCAAGCGGTTCTGGCACTGCAACCTAACCGATTTCTGCACCAAATTATACAGAAAAGAGAAGAGATAAAAACCATGCATAATACAGATATATACTTTTTAAATAATCCAGTTAACTTTACCCTATTCCTGAATCAGTTCACAAATCAGTTAACACCGCGTTCCGCAAGGAGAGGTTAAAGGCACAACGAAAGAGACACGCAAGGATCAGTGGTTCTAAGTGGCGCAAAGGTTGCAAAAACAAGCCAAGTCAACAGAGAGGGAAGCACAAAAGTCTTGCTTCAAAGGAAAAAGCCACTCACCACCCAAAATGGCAAACAGGTGCCTCCCGAGGGACTCCACCGTGGAGGGGTCACTGCACTGCCGAGCCAAATTCTTCAACGCAACGATGGCTTCGTCCATCAGCTGAGAACTGTTAGATTTCAACTGGCCTGAAAACCACACAAGAAACACTAAGAATCTCAGGGCGTGGGATATTCACAGACTGAAACCCAACAGTAAGTTGCAGCTAGAGCAGGCCCATCAAATCAGTGGAACTTGCGCAGGTGTTGACTCACCAAATCCTCACAGATTCAATGGGCTTACTCAGTTGTAACTTATGGCTGGAATTCAGCCACAGATTTCTCTTGTGAGCACTGGGGTAGGAGGACGCGATACTAAGAAGATGTCGACACCCTAGTTCATCTCTTGGCAAAATCAATGTGCATTTTCAATTCCCCAGTTATTCTGTGAGGAAGATTCAGGCTTGTTAATAATGACCCTACATCAAGGATATGCAATATGAGACCCACAAGTCGGGTTTCCCATTGTAAGCACCAAAACCTGTTTTTCACCCAAGTATGGTAGGACCCCCATGGTTTCACTTAGCCACAGTCTGAAAATATTAAAAATATTGAATTAAAAAAAACAGAAATACAGTGGTGCCTCACATAGCGAACGCTTCGCTATGCGATGAAACCGCACAACGATGGGTCCCGGGCCATCGCTGGAGCGTTCGCTCAGCGATGGCCCCTATGGGCTTTTTTCGCTATGCGATGATCGCGCGGACACGATCAAAGCATAGCGAACAGCTGATCGGCGGTTCCAAAATGGCCGCAGCTAAAACAAAATGGCGACCGCTGTTTTGCCTCGCTAACGAGGCATCCAAAATGGCCGCCGCAATGGAGAAAACTCACAGAATGGTGAGCTTTAATTCCATAGGAACGTATTAAATCAGTTTTAATACGTTCCTATGGACTTTTTCGTTTCACTTAACGATGGATTCGCTGAGCGAGGGTTAATCCGGAACGGATTAACCTCGCTAAGCGAGGCACCACTGTACGTGGTTTTTATGATGTAATTACCAGAACTGGCCACTAGAGGGAACCAGAACATATGCTGTATTGGTAACTTGCCGCCATTTTGCCTAGTCTCCCAGATCTTGCCGAGTCTTCTTGTCAACAGCAAGCCTCGGTTATTGTCCACACAGGCACAGTATATAGGTTTCAAAAGCTGCTTTTTCAGTATCCGCGGAGGGCTTGCAACTGATCCCTCATGGACACAGGGGTCCTTACTGTACTAAAATAAACATCTATCTGTTTTTCCATTTTAAGAAAGGGATTTCCATGCCTAGAAATCTCCAAGTCACCAGAGTCTCCTTTATTATGATTTATTGATTTATTAAAGGTACTTGGATACTGCCCAACTTAGTGACCACTCTGGGCAGTAGACAATAAAGAAACAAATCGCAATTCCCCAGCACCACGAAGAAAACATTACACGGATTAACTGGGAATGAACCAACAATCAAGCTTTTTCTAAGCTTAAAATCTAAAACTTAAAAGCTTTAAAAATGGTGGAACCAGGTGACTCATATACATAGAAAGCTTAGGGGAGGATGACCTTGAAAGAATTTTTTTTAGGCAAGGTTTTTAGTATCCTCTTGAAAGTTGGGAGGGAGGAAGCCTGACGAAATCCTAATGGGAATGTATTCCATATGGAAGGTGCCACAACCGAGGAGGCTCAATTTGGTGTCAAGACCTTCTTTCCCTCTCTTGGCATGCCAACCCATAAGAGCAAGGCCTTGTGAGGATCGGGTGGCAAGGGCTGATGTGCTAACGGAAGGATGCTCTGACAAGTGGAGCCGTCTCAAACTGGTAAGGGCTTCGTAGGGTAAAGTCAAAACCAAAAAATAAACCCTGGGTTCAATGTTTTCACCAGAAATGCCAGAATCTTATCGGGTTTTATAATCGCCGAAGAAAAGTCACGCAACCCATGCTAGCTCTTTTTGCTGGCTTTCTACTTCTGGGTGACAACCCTCTGGCCATGCTGGGTGTGGAGATTCTAGGAGTTGTAGCCCGGAAAACTAGCATTACCAAGCTCTAAGCACAAGTCAAAAGTCAAATTAAGTTTTGGCACTTCAGCTCTTCCAAAGCTGCAACCAGCTTGGCCCATGGTAAAGAATTACAGGATTTGTCACTATTATGTGTAGCAGGGCAAAGGTTCGTTCTCCAACCCTAGAGCAGACAGGAATTTTCTCTAGTCTCCAAACCAAGTATCCAGAAACAAGGGGACTTACTGGCCAGTCCTTTCACGATGTCCAGGGCGTACTGGCTGAGGTCGAGGGTCACGGAGGCCAACAAACAGGAAATTGCTAAAATCAAGAGAAGATTGCAAGAAAGCGTTAATTTTGTCAACTTTAGCACTTGCCAAGAGAAAAATAATGACCTCATAAAGCATCCAGGAATTGGTTTATGGCTAGAAACTATGGGGTGAATGGCCTCTTTAAATCAGTGAGTTCTGCGAAAGGAGGAGGACAGAAATAACCCAAAGAACTTCCTTGAAATAACTCTACACACACAGACCTGTAAGTGTCCACATTTCAAGACTGCCGTTAAATAATATGCATGTCTTTTTTCTTTGCCTTCTGGGTTAATAGGCTCCAGCAAAGCCCACAGTTTGATTAGTCCTTGGGATACAGAGATTTCTTCTTTGAAGCAGAAAATGTGTACTCTTTAAACCTGGTATTGTTTACAAGTGGCAGCAGGTCCTCATCTGCCACCTTAGTTCAGTAACCAAGTGGTTTACCTATTCAGTTGCCTTATCAAAGCTGAGCAGCCAAAATCTGTACCTCTCAAATCCTGTCTTTTCCCCTTATTTCACGACAACCTGGAATGCTTTAAAAGCACCTGCAAAGACGCCTGCACGCTCACGCCATCATAGACTTCCATCCTAACACTTCACCTCCAATGCATAGCCTGACTAGTTTTGAATCCATTTTTCTAACTGCACAACCATCCCAGTGTCCATTTGCCCTTCAACTCCCTACAACCTGTACACGTCAGCTGATGTTTCACCAACAAATCTTGCCGGCACAGTTATGCACGTTCGCACCACGTGCAGGAAATGCTGCTGTCGTGTCATCAGAGGGTGGACTGCTTTGTGGAGATCCTTTGTGCAAAAGCAATACTGGCCCAAGAGGCAACAGTCCTGCTTTACGGTGCTGGCAAGATTTTCCACCCAACAGTTGCTCAATAAGATATTGGCCTTCCTGTCCCACTGAACGTTAATCACAATAATCTTACAATTACAGAGCTGGAAGGGACCCTACGAAGCATCTAGTCCAGCCCCTGTCAATGGAGCACACTAGGAAATTGAATGCCCGGCACCTTTGGCTTGGTAACCACATTCCTCAACCACTGAGCTATCCAGCAGTTCATAAAATAAAAGTGGTTCATTGCAATTCCACGGGCAGCAACCGGTCTGATTCTGGCACTGTATAATTCAAGCTGATCTGCACCCAGGTAAACACCAAGAATCTAGCGTCACTTCTCTTAACCCAGCCACAGGCATTGCAACTCCCAGCGCAGAAGGGCTGGTCAGTGGATCTCAGTGGGACCCAATCCACCCATGGCAGCCTTCCTTCATTTCACCGCCTACCCCGCCATCATCCACCAGCTACTCACTTTCGATGGCGTTCTCAGGGCTTCGGAGCAGAGACTTCTGCAGAGCTGGCAAAAGAAGATCTTTGAATTCGGAGTGAGAGACATAGCGGAGCAAAGGAGCACAGTTGTCCTGCAAGAAACACCGACAGCTTAACAGAAGAAGGCGCTCACTCAGTCACCTGGGGCAAGGAGGCATTTTCACAAGGTCGCTCCGATGACAGGGTCAGGCGGGCGGAAAAGGCCGGGCCTGGGCAGTAGCGGCGGCTGCTGCCTGAATGAAAGGCTGGCCACCATAAGCCCAAAGCAGCCATGTTCAACGCTGGCCGCCTTTCCAAACAAAAGCAAACAAATAAAAATTGCTGCAGCATCTTAAAGACTTAGCGGTCAGACTTCAAGGGAAACTTTTGTGGATAAATGCATCTGATCAGAGCTGTTGAGTTTGTGTTCTGTGCCATCAAGTCAGAACTGATCTATAGCGATCCTAAGAGGGCTTTCGAGGTAAGTGAGATGTTTAAGGAGTGGTTTGACCAGTTACACTCTCCCAGTGAGTTTCCATGGCCGAGCGGGGAGTCCGACCCAGGCCTTCTGAGGCCTACTTGGTCACTCTTGTCCATCGCACCACACTGGGAATTCACTAGGCATATCACAATAAAGCAAAGCCACGTGTATACACACGGCAGGGACAACAGCATTCTCTTGTAAGTTCTTGAGTATTTTTCTAGGACAATAAAGTGCTCACATGCCTGGTTTTGCATCAAGGTTATGCTGAGGAAGAAGCTCAAAGACAGCCAGGAGGGCCCGATAATAAAAGTGCAAATCACCCTTCACTCTCCACGAAGAGATCTCCTTCAATGGACTCCACAGAAACAAAACAAAGCATGTGGCACCTTAAAGACTCACTCTTATATTTTAATGTAAGCTTTCCACTTAAATGGAAGGCACTTCCATCTGACTGATCAAGCAAGGAGGGCCAATGATCCCCTTTTCGACTTTGGTTTGATCCAAGAAAAATTCTGAAGGCTCCTTAGGAATTCCAGGCAGGACCCTTCTCGTCCGTTTGTCATTAAAACAAAGGAGCAAAGGGAGCCTTTCCTGTCAGCATGAACACAGGCAATCCTTGGGCTGCCTCTACCACAAAGAGGGATCAGAAGCAGCCACCTTCCCATCTATCAAACAACCAGTATTTCCCAGCATGGTTGGAAGTCAAGTTTGTTTTTCCTGAGTGAACTAACCTTCTCCCTTCCCCCTTGACATACCAGTGTCATTGAACTATGCACGTCTTGGATCCAGGCCTCAGAATAAGATGCAGAGCAAGCCCCGTTCAGCCATTGCGCCTGAAACCCGACAGCGCTTGAAGGATGGGGGTTAGAGGCAAGTAACGTTTGCAAACTCGCAGCTCTTGTTAGCACATTTTGGGGAATGTTCCTGCAGAGTTTCTCTGACTGGGAGCCCTGCCTTGGCGGCTTAGAAATGCCAGTGCTTGCATTTCATGGTAGAATCTTTTGACCCACCCAGCTACTCTCCCCCAAGGCTCATGGATATGAATACTTTCACATTAAGGTTGATTCTTGATCCAGCCGAGAAGGTGGACTCCAGCCCTTGAAAGCAGCGGTTGCAATACACCCCCTTCTTACAGAATCCTAACTCTCTGTTTGATTTTGTTGGTGGCACAGTCTGGGCAAGGGAACCATTTGAACTCCGGTACGAGGCTGGGCCTCTCTCTCACCAGCAAGTGCTTCTGAGGTTTCGTCTTGCTCATTAGAATGGTTTTCATATAGAAATCAAGGAGAGAACTCTGGAAAAAAAGCAAAAATAAAAACAAAACCCTCATTACTGGCATGAAGCAAACCATGGTCAGACCTGAGAAGGAAGCTCTACCAAGGTCATAGCATGGGGCAAGCAACATGTGTCCCCCCACCCCGCAAAAGATGTTGGACAGCAACCCCCAGCAGGCCTAAGTAGCACCTCCGGAGGTAGTAGAGGACAACAGCTAGATGATCGAATCAGGTGCAAGGTTTGCTGACCATCTACAAAGCCCCTTCACGGTTTGGGGCCATGTCCCTTGTTGGAGCATCTTTTCCCAACGTCCTATAACCCAGATGGCTAGGTTCGCCCAGGCAATGTTCCTCTGGAGGACGGCTCTAAAGGAGGCCAGAAAATCCTTTACCAGAACTGGGTCCTTTTCCACGGTGGCGCCAACCCTCTGGAACCAATTCCCGGTAGAGATGCTCCCAGCGCCCTCCCGCCCAACAGTTCAAAGACACCTGAAAACACTCCTTCTCAGATCAGCCTTTCTTGGTGACCCGCCTTGATTTTTCAATACGCCTCACGTCTCTCAGTTATGATTCACACATCCTGAGCTTATTTTATTGTCTATGTGTTTTATTTTTTAATTATTTATTTTATTTTTATTTATTTATTTCTCACTAGATTTTTACCCTTTCCCCCTAGACAATGTCTACTCAGGGCGGCTTACATGGATAAAAAGAAAAACACAACAATATAACAAATATAAAAATCATCAACTTCAACACTTATTTCTAAACGGAACATTTCCAAGATGACATAACTCGAGAAAGAGAAATAAGGGTCAGTTAATTGACTGGAGGGAAGGCCTGCCTGAAGAGCCAAGTTTTTAAATGGCTTTTGAAAACACCCAGCGAAGTTTGATGGGTTGTCTGTTTTTTGTTTTTTTTTATCTTGCTGTAAACTGCCCAGAATAGCGCAGTGCGCTACTGAGGCAGAATATACATTTAAGAAATAAAAAATTATGGTCTTGGTTTCCAGCCCTGGGGGACGGGGAACCATGTAACATGAAGTTGGAGAGGGAAATGAATACTGCTTGGACCACCACTGCTGAAGCCCCCTATTCCAGCCCCTTTGATGGCTGCAGGCGCAGCTACCTCTCTGTTTACAGGGGGGAAATTGCAGAAATGCTGGCTGTGATACACTGGGGGAAAAGCGGGGAAATGGCAGTCGTAAGGCACCAGAATTCGAACTTCAGGGGCCGCTGACTTTTGGGAGAACAAAGTTGCCAGCTCAGAGAACAGCACTGTGCCAAAATTCTGGAAGGCCCCTAAAATCCTGAAAGTGCCACAGTCTCTTTAGGACCTGGCGGCTGAATCTCACTTCAGGATGACACTGACGCTCGCCCATTCAGCTGGCAACTGGCAAAGCCACTCCCTCTCTCACTCCCGCGCCAAGCCAGCCACCCCTGCTGACCTTGTGTGCGTTAATGATGCCCAATTCTTTCTGACTGGTACAGAACTGCACGAGGAGGCCGAGCATGCCCGCATAGCCTTGGTGGGCCTCCAGCCCTAGGATGACAGAGAGGTACTGGTCCACCAACCCAGGGTTCTGTAGAAAAAAACAAAGAAGCACGTCAGAAACAGAAACACTGCAAGGAGCGAAGCCTTCCCCAGCCTTGTACCCTCTTGAAATGGGGGACGACAACTCTCGTCAACTTAAGCACTTCAAGCCAGTGCCTCCAGAGGGCGCTGCGTGGAGTGAGCAATCTGCAACGCCAGAAGATGCCCTTACCTCTTTCCACAGTCGGTTCAGCTTCTTCACAGCCCCGTCCATCACAGGTTTGCGCGAGCCACCCAAAACGTCCAGCAGAAGGAAACACTGAACTTCCACCTGTTTTCTTCACAGCCCCGTCCATCACAGGTTTGCGTGAGCCGCCCAAAACGTCCAACAGAAGGAAACACTGAACTTCCACCTTTTTTGAACAAGGACAAAGAAAGAGAAAGAGAGAGAGAGAATGGGTCTTGATAAAATCAGGGTCAGCAATAGGTGGCCCATGGGCCAAATGGGGCCGCTCGCATCCTCAGGACTTCCCAGCAGCATCCCCAAACCCCCTTTAAAAAAACCCTCTAAATTTTTTTTAAATCACCAATATCCAGCCTCAAAATGTCCCTTTGTGCTCCCTCAGACCTGGGGGGGCAATTTTGCCACACTTTAAGATCCCCAGCACCTCTGCCCCAGGTATGTATGTATGTATGTATGTATGTATGTATGTATGTATGTATGTTGTATGTATGTATGTATGTATGTATGTATGTATGTATGTATTCATTCATTCATTCATTCATTCATTCATTCATTCATTCATTCATTCATTCATTCATTCATTCATTCATTCCATTTATACCCGCCTATCTGTTCATTGCGAACACTCTAGGTACCCTCACCATTTGTTTTTAATCTGTTCTGTAGTGTAAGAGGGGTAAAGTGGCTTTTCCATTTTAAAAACTCATAATAATTTGCAGCTGGAGTTGCAGATGTGACCCTCTAAGATTCGTAGACGAACATGCAGAGGTGATCTGCGCTTGGAATAAATGATTGCTTAACCCTAATCACAATCTCTAAACTCCACCTTGGCTTCCGGTTTGTTTACATCTCCAACACGGAGCCAATACATGTTGGCCCAGTTATGACAATGTGTATTCTACAGCTCAAGAACACAGGTTGTATCCTTGAGCTGTTGGCTAGAGGTTCTATCAAGGCAACGACAGCATGCAAATACTCCAGAGGTAGACGACAGTAAAATGGCATGTATCAAAATTTCAGAGAAAAGACAGCAGACCGTTGGCTGTCTTTCTCTCCTTTAAGGTTGGAACCCGATCTAAGAAACTATGGTGGGCCCGAGCAGTACCAATGATGACAATCTTAAAAATCCAGCACTTAAACACCAGGTCAACTGAAGGGAAATCATCTGAAGGGTTTGAGTGGTATCCATCTCAGTGACCAATGAGAGGGGTTTCTTTTCTGCTGCTCCCAGACTATGAAATGCACCTCTCTGAGAGACGAAATCCATTCCCTTTCTTGCTTGCTTCAGGAAGAAAGTGAAGACCCACTTTCTAAACTGGCTTACAAAATTGCATGACATTTAATGGACAAATCCTACGAGTGTTCGTATAAGGCTTGCATCACTTCCTGTAGCTGCTTGCAGCTAATTTAAGAGATGCTGGGGTGCAGGTCAACTGAGTGATCAAGGGTGCAATGAGACACATGACCCAGATGTGCCCCAGCACCTTGGCCATGAGCTAACCGCGGTTGTAGAAACTTGCAGAAACCAGATGCACACACCAACTGGGTTCAGAGTATTGTGATGATTTCAACTGTTTTTACAGCAAGCTGGTTTTAACAGCTGAATGACTGAACCGGTTTTCTACCTGCTGTTTTTGTTCCGTGTTATGTTTGTGAGCTATGCTGAGAGCTACTCTGGAGCAGACAAGAGGGTTAAACATGCAAGAGATAAAAGCCACGTTCAAGGAGCCTTACCAGCTTCTCCCACGTTTCTCCTTGTCTTCTGTCCCGTGTGGGGAAGACGGTGCGAACGAGCAAGCAAGTCCAGGACAGGGCCAGCACGGCTGCAGAGCCACTCCTTTTACTGCCAGCGAATAAGCAAGAAGAGAATAAGCTCCACTGGGGACTCCAGAAACAGTATTTGCCGCTACAAATCATGGCTAGTTCACACCATTTAATCTATTTTTACAGCCTTAAAAACAAGAAGAGTAGCGGCAGGGACAGGTTCAAAGTTACAACTCAACTACCAAAATCAAGTTTACATAATCAAGGCAAAAGCAAATGGAAGTGTATGCCCATAACTTTCCATGGAGTTATGGAAGAGCGAAGGGGCAGAGTGCGCTCGCATGCATGTGCGAAGGGGAAGAGGGCGCTCGCGTGCATGCGTGAAGAGGCGGGGGTGCTTGCAGAGGGGAGGGATGTGCTCGCAGGTGGGAGGGGCACTCATGCATGCGGGTGGCAGGCTGTGCTTGGGGGGGGAGGGAGTGCATGCGTGGGGGACAGGAAACCTGTTTCTGCAGCTCGGTCCTGCCATGGCCACAGACCGGTTGGGGACCCCTGTCCTAAGGGACCCCTGTTTGAAGCCCTGTGGGGGTAGCCTTAACAACACTTGATACATCTTTAATCAGGCCATGTGATGTGGATTTGTTGTTGTTGTTGTTTAGTCGTGTCCAACTCTTCGTGACCCCATGGACCAGAGCACGCCAGGGCCTCCTGTCTTCCACAGCTTCCCAGAGCTGGGTCAAATTCATGTTGGTCGCTTCAGTGACACTATTCAACCATCTCGTCCTCTGTCATCCCCTTCTCCTCTTGCCTTCACACTTTCCTAACAACAGCGTGATGTGGAGACCTAGCACCAAACCATTGTTAGGCGAGTGATTAGGAATGTACAGAAGGGAGAGAAAGGTCTCCATCAACGCAACAACATGCAGTTTAACAGAGCACTGAAAGCAACTCTTATACTGCTATCTAGGGCAGTGATGTCCATAGTAACCAGCACAGCCTTCCAGGATTTTACGTAGAGATTCTCCCAGCCCAACCCAATGTCAGGAACTGATCCTGATCCATCCTGCTTCCAATGCATGGACTCTGGGCTACAGTCCTTCCCCTAGAGGCCGGCTCCCGAGCCCTGGGCGACCTTATCCCAAACCGCCTTGTTCAAAAGCAGCAACAGAAGCAGAAACGTTCAAGCAAGCACCGAAGCGACACTCCTAAATTGTTCCTTCCCTGCCACGTGGGCGAAGAGCCCATTTTAAAAGAGAAAGCTCACTTTAAAGGCACAGCCAAGAAACCAACCGCCCCTCTTCACGAAAGGCCTCCCCAAGAGAGGAGGGCACAGAATCCAGCTCTCACCTGGGGCCTCCGGACTTGCAGCCGATCCCGGAAGACTGCAAGGCCTGCAGGAGGTTCTTGGCCGTTGCTTCTGGGTGGCATTCCATGAGCTGCTGGAGGGTCCCCTGGAGGGCTCTTCGGGAGGCCGCATCTCTAACAAGGAAAGGGCAGGGGTTGCCAAAACCATTAGCTGCTCAGGACAAGAGCTGGACTCTATGAACATTCCCAGGAGCCCCATTTATTCATAACCTCAATTTTAGCTGACAAACCAGTCTACTAAGCTCAAATTTAAACATATCTCTTTCAGACAGCAACAAGAAGTTGTAAGATAATTTCATAATTATGGTTAGACATCCTTCAGTCTCGAGAGACTACGGTAACGTGCTCTGTATGGAGGACTTGGAACAGTGTCTAGTGTGGCTGATGAGGCCAATGCAAGAGTGACCATCCCTTCCACACTGAAGACAAATCCAATCTGTTCCGTCCAGCTCCCTGATTTTGCTGCTTTTGTGACTTCCTCTTTGCCTCGGCCTGCTGGACAAAGGTCTCTTCAAATTGGGAGAGGCCATGATGCACCGCCTGCCTCCAGGCTGAACGCTTAGATGTCAGGGTTTCCCATCTGTTGAGGTCCATTCCTAAGGCCTTCAGATCCTGCTTGCAGATCTCCTTGTATCGCAGCTGTGGGCTCCCTTTCAGGTGATTTCCCTCTACATACAGGAGATCTTTTGGAATCCGACTGTCAGCCATTCTCATGACATGTCCAAGCCAACATAGATGCTGCTATTTCAGTAATGTATATGCTATGGTATGCTCTATGGTACAAATCAAAATATACATTGGAGAGAAGATTCTCCATTCTTACCTGTATCGATGTAGAGTGAGGCAGAATAATTTACAAAGGCCTTTCACTGCACCTTCTGGCAGGTCTGAAATAGAGTCAAACCAAATATTAGCGATACAGCAGCAAAACACATGTTGTGCAATGCCACGGCCATAATCAGCTATAGCCATCTTTTGGAAATTAAAAATTTCTAACTGCCTTATGCGGATTCGTTGTTAAACGGTGCGCTCGTTATGCGAGGCACCACTGTAGTAGCAAGTTATGGAGCCTGTATTTAAAGTGTTCAAGGAATAAGATTTGGGAGCCTAAAATCCTGAAAAGGGTCACCATATGTCAGAATTGACTTGACAGCACACGAAGGCACGTGGAATTTCAACAACAGTGGAGCAGGACTGAAAACATTAGGTAATATTATTTTGACTTTAATCTGACTCCAATTGGCAAAACTTTACTTTATTTTTATTTGTATTTATTTAACTTATATGCCACCCACACTACCCAAAGGTCTCTGGGCGGATTACAACTTTTAAAATACAGTGGACCCTTGACTTACAGACGGCTTGACTTACAGACTTTTTGAGTTACAGACTTCTCTGGCCGCAAAATTTAGGTTTGACTTGCAGCCTGAGATTTGACTTACAGACCAGAAAAAAACCAAAATGGAACAAAAATGGCCTGTTACGGGATTAATCGGTTTTCAATGCACTGTAGGTCAATGGAGATTTGACTTACAGACTTTTTGACTTGAGAACCGCATTCCAATACGCATTAAGTTCTCAAGTCAAGACCCCACTGTAAAATAAAAAATTAGAACAATTAAAATACAATTAATATATATATAAAATTACTCACAATTGCTGCCACCCAGGACGATTTTACTGGCAGCAGCAATTTTTGGAAATTAAAGCTTCCCATTTGGGTTCCCGCAACTCCAAATGGCTTCCCCAAAGGTGCCTTACTTGATATATAGTACAGTACAGTTCAAGTTTATTGTATTAGCTAAAAGCCATCACAATTGTTTAAAATACAGATATAGTCAATTAAAATCATGATAAAATTACAGGCAGCACAGGCTTCTGCGGTTTAGCCCACAGCGCCACCACGTCCCTTTGATTGCAAAGGCTTTCACAAAATTAGCTCGAATATTTCTGGCCACTTTTGCGAAAAGCGCTGTTCTATATGTAACATAAGGGTCACAGTCAAAGAATAACCTAACCACCTTTATCTGAGGGCTTTCCTCCTGTAGAGCAGCCAAAATGTTATCCAGGAGCTTTTCTCAGGGGTTTTGATATGAAGTTACAATATTGGTTTTCAGCCACTGCATCAAAACCATGGCTTAATATCTTCTCTTTTTATGGGAAAGAGCAGTTGCTGGGGACATGCAAACATAACAGGGAGAAGTCAATTCTTTGCTCCTGCACTAGAGTCTCAACAAAAACTGCCCTCTTCCCAAGCTGCCTTTGGCGCAAGAAAGCAGTTCCCTCGGATCCCAGTGGGATCCAGTTGTTAGGAATACCTTTTCCGGTGATGCATCTGCCAAGTTCACTGAGGATCTCTCTCCGTTCCTTCACACTGGACGTGGTCACTTTCACCGCAAATCTCTTCAGTGTTTCGGAAACCTAAGGAGGCAATGAAGACGAGGGAAGACACTGCTGTTCGTTCCTCTTCCAAGAATGAAGGGGTAGATGTACTCTAGAAACATCTATGGCCCAATCTTCTGCATGTTCTCCTTAAACATTTGTGTTTTCTCTCAAGTAGGTGTGCATGTTATGCTTGTCGTGATGTGCCCTCAAATTGCATCAGCTTTTAGCAACCCTAATACTGAGCTTAAGCCACTAAATTAAAAGCATGGCTTGATCTCACATATTTTCTCTCTTTTTAATAGAAGAGGTCATTTGCTGAAAACACACAATCATGGTTGGGCCCAGAGAATGCACAAAGAAGATAACACGATATTAAGCCATGTTTTTAATGCCGTGGCTGAAACTCTCGCAAAAACGTGGTATATTTAAGAAGTTGTTTTTCCCACTGCTGCACCCTCATTCCAGAATTTCCAGGACTAAGTGAGGACTTGGGCCCAAATTTCCCTAGTTCCAATCTATCCCTCTGTCTGTTATACCATACTAGCAATTTTAGTGTTTATAAGAATGGAAAAAGAAAAAACAAATTTAAAAAGAGGATCATATCACTATATGTACTCAAACAGAATTGTGTCAGACCATTAATCAAACTGGCAGAGCAGAAGTATGGAAAGAAGGAGAGAGTGATGTGGAGAAGAATCAAAGATTATGCAATGATTAAAGGGTCACAAGTTGCCTTCCTCCTACGGTATTTCAACTGTTTATACTCTACCCTTCAGCAAAGTTTTCCAGACAGCTTAAAGCAAAAAAGCAAAGTGTGCTGCTTGTATACAGCCCATAGCACTGAAAGCACTCTCTGGGTGACTGGCCATTTAATTACGTAGGCTTCAAATTGCCGCCGCCACTCCCCACCCCCCAAAAGTTGAGTAGTCAATTTATCAACCTCAGAAAGATGGAAGGCTGAGTGAACCTCAAGCTGGCTACGTGGGATTCAATCTGGGTTGTGAGACGTTTGGCTGCAATATAGCAGTTTAAACACTGGGCTACAAGATCACAGCAATGTGATGGTCCTACATCAAAAATCTCACCGCCAATTTTGCTGAACATTCAAGAGTGGCCAAGGCAGTATTTCAAGGGCTGCAGGGAATCCTCAAATTATCCTTACAGCTATCTTCACAGCAATTGTCACTGTTTTCAAATGTGTATCCTTCACTTCTCTCAAAACAGTCAGATCAGGATCCATGATTTCTTCCCTATACCTCAGGTGCCCTGCATGATCAATTAGCCTGAGAAAGAGTGACTTAGGCTGATTAGGAACTTTCAACTGTGGCCTCCTGGCTTGATTATTCACTACCACAACCGCAACACTACTGCTATAATCCAGTCTTTCATTTATGGAACATTATTATTCAACAAGAGAAATAAGTCATCCCTACACCACAGATGAGGTAATGAAGATCAAGAAAACCAGCTCCCCTAGAAAAGCGTAAAATAGTCAGAAGACAGCATTTGAAAGCATTTAAACTACCCTTGGCTTAATGTGCTACTGTAAGTTGTAAACAAACCAACACACACAAAAAACTGCCAAATTACAAGTAATTGCAACCGTGTGCTTTTCCCTCCATTTTCTCTTCCTATGGCTCCTCTGCATGGTCTCCATGGGAGGAGGAGCTATCAAACCCATTCTATGTAAGGCACCATTTACACCATGCTGTGAAATACATCAATATCCTACACTTCCAAGGGGGTCAGGCTGTGTGTGACCTTGCAAACATACATCGTCTTTTTTATTATTATTATTTTGAGATGGCTTTAGCTGTTTGCCTCCATCATTCTCTGAACTTCATGGCCTTACACTGAAGCACATAGGCAACGACGAGGGAAACTTCAGGTATGTTTATACCTGCAAATAAGAAACTTGAAAGGCACTTAAACAGGTGTTACTTCTGCCTTAAATGCCAAAAAAAAACCTATCATAACAAAGAGTCCTGGGTTCAAATCCTGGTATCTGGAAGCGGAAAGGCCCCGGAAAGCAGCAGGTAGGGTTGGGAGGAGGCCGGCCTTCTTCCAACAAGACGCCCTCCCGAGGTGCTGGGTCTGCAAGTCCCATCGTCCCCCAGCCANCAGGCGTCACCCACCTGCGTGTCAGCCGCCATCACGCCGGCTGCGACCCGGAAGCGGCTCTGGCGCCACATCCGGGGGAGGGGGGGTCGCCCGGCGCGGTTTGATGGCGTCATCCGGCCCGCCGACGCGCGTCGCGTTGGCGGAGGAAGAGGGCCGAGAGGAGGGGGTCCTCAGAATACGCATGCGCGCCTCTCCTTCTCTCACACATGTGCTGTATTCCTGGAGCGCGAGAGCCCTGCTTTTAATTCAGTGACTTTTAAGCCCAGTAATAAGGTTGCTGAAAGTTGCCTCGAGAGCTGCTCTTGGTCGCTGCACAGCCCGGAGAAGTTACTTTTGGGGGACTACAGCTCCCACAAGGCACCAAGCCAGAATGCATTCATTCATTCATTTATTTATTTAATTTATACCCCGCCCATCTAGACCTTAGTCTACTCTGGGGGGCGGGGGGCTAACAACAATCCAAATAATAACAATATAAAATAGAACAACGTTAATGCAATGGAATGTGGCAATAAATCAATTAGGTATTGACAGGAGGTAAAGCCTGCCTAAAGAGCTGGGTCTTGAGTTTGTCATCCCAAAGGCAGGGCAGGGAGCGACAGCCCCAACATGCAAGCTCTCCGCTTCCCTCATTGCTTATATCCCTGCTGGGTCTGGGCTGGGACTCATCCGGTCCCACCATTCCGGCTTCCCATCAGGGCCAAACACAGTCCCTGCCTGGGACTCCCTCAAGGGCAGACGTTGTTGCTCAGGTATATCTGGACTAGCCGGGATGTGTTAATTTGAAAATATGCTTACTTTTGGGGGGGGGGGGGAGAGCACCAACAGGGACGACCCACGGAGACCATCCCGAACCCAACCGCCCCCCGGGGGCCCTTCGGGGGCAGAGCGGACAAAACCCTTCCCCCTCCAGCCGGGAGAAGCCCGGCCCAGAAGCCCCGCGGCGGCCGCTGAGCTCGGCGTCGAAGGCCCGGCCGAGCGCGAGGGAGGCAGCGGAGGGCCCGCCGACGCGCGTCGCGTTGGCGGAGGAAGAGGGCCGAGAGGAGGGGGTCCTCAGAATACGCATGCGCGCCTCTCCTTCTCTCACACATGTGCTGTATTCCTGGAGCGCGAGAGCCCTGCTTTTAATTCAGTGACTTTTAAGCCCAGTAATAAGGTTGCTGAAAGTTGCCTTGAGAGCTGCTCTTGGTCGCTGCACAGCCCGGAGAAGTTACTTTTGGGGGACTACAGCTCCCACAAGGCACCAAGCCAGAATGCATTCATTCATTCATTTATTTATTTAATTTATACCCCGCCCATCTAGACCTTAGTCTACTCTGGGGGGCGGGGGCTAACAACATTCCAAATATTAACAATATAAAATAGAACAACGTTAATGCAATGGAATGTGGCAATAAATCAATTAGGTATTGACAGGAGGTAAAGCCTGCCTAAAGAGCTGGGTCTTGAGTTTGTCATCCCAAAGGCAGGGCAGGGAGCGACAGCCCCAACATGCAAGCTCTCCGCTTCCCTCATTGCTTATATCCCTGCTGGGTCTGGGCTGGGACTCATCCGGTCCCACCATTCCGGCTTCCCATCAGGGCCAAACACAGTCCCTGCCTGGGACTCCCTCAAGGGCAGACGTTGTTGCTCAGGTATATCTGGACTAGCCGGGATGTGTTAATTTGAAAATATGCTTACTTTCTCTAAGGATGTGAAATGTGTGGCCTTTCAGATGTTGCTCTGCAATTGCCCTTCTCTCTAGGAAGCCCAACCAGTAAGACAGTGGAGCACACAACCCGCAAAGAAAGGGTCGCAAGTTGCCTTCCTCCGATTCCAGCTCTGTGTATTTCCCCCCTCCACCAGCCTTTGGCCATGTTTTCCAGAACAAGTGATAAAAATAACTCTACCCACAGAAAGACAATCCTAAGCATTAGATGCATATTGTGTATTACATCAGAAGGCAGGCAGAAAAGTCTTGTACTGGCTATAGAAACTCACTGGGAAGGGGGGTGGGGTGGTAAAACTGTCCTTAAAGATATCTTACCTTAAGAACAAAGGTGATGTATTTTAGGTAATGTATTAAGGCCATTGTAAGTCAGATGTTTCCTGCCAACCTAGCAGTTTTAAAACATGCAAATGCGAGTAGATAAATAGGTACCACCTTAGTGGGAAGGTAACAGCTTTCCGTGTCTAGTCACGCTGGCCACGTGACCACAGAAACTGTCTTTGGACAAACATGGCTCTATGGCTTGGAAACAGGGATGAGCACTGCACCCTAGAGTTGGACACGACTGGACTAAACGTTAAGGGGAACCTTTACCTTAGTCAGCTGTAACAAACCTGCATCAAGCAGAGGCCAGCCTCCCATTCCTCACACACTGCAACTGCTAGGGTGTATTCTGAACTGTTTCAGTTCAACTATGGTGCCACCTCTTCCAAGTAAAATTCTCTCTGTCCTATCAGTGGAAGGTGGATAATGTTAAGGGACAAGAGTACAGCAGGCAACACAAATGCGTAAAGCCTGCAGCAACACCTTACTGCAGAGAGGCTTGTAAACCTATCCTTGGCTTGAGCCCTTTTGTCCATGTAAAAAAGGAGTAAAAATGGAGGATTCTCCTTCCCCTGATAGTTGGGCAAACATCGTTTGCAGTCCTGCTTCAAAAACATGTAAGAGGCATTCTCTACTCCTTGATGGCTGTCACCACTGAAGGAGAACTTGACGCTTCTGCCTTGATACCCGCAACTAGAAGTACGAAGCATAGAGGAAGCTGCTTTCTACACCCGCACATCCAAGTAATAAAAGCTCCGATTGGTAGCAGTTCTTCACAATGTCAGTCCAAACTAGTTCCTAGCTCTACCTGGAGACCACAGGGATGGACCTTATGCATACAAAACATATTTTCACTGCGTTACAACCCTAACTCCCCTCCACCCCGATGCGGCACCTGGCATTCCCTAATACAGTAGTACCTCAGTTTATGAATTTAATGCATTCTACAGGACTTCATATAAAGCAAAAAGGTCATAAACCGATACACGGTTTGCCAGAGGAACGGGGGGGGCACTATAAACCTCCAGGCACAATGCATCCTGGGGAAACTTCTTTCGTACTGCGGGAAAAAAACAAACCAAGGCATTATTTTCTATGGATTTCCATTCATAAACTGAAAGGTGTTTGTAAACCGAGGTACTACTGTAGTCTCATCCAAATACCCACTCCCCTCAAGTCTGACACTGTTTATCTTCTAAAATCAGATGGGATCCAGCATGCTGAGAGTGGTCTGCTGATTCTGTAATAATCACAATAAACAGTGTGGAGAGAAGTTATTTTATTAATTCTCACTGTACTCAAAACTGGACGATGACAACACCAGTGGTTAGTCGAAGAGCCCGAATCCCATGTCTTCGTCAGACTCTTCCGACTCTTCCTTGGCTTCCTCCTTAGCTGGGGCTGCAGCAGCAGGAGCAGCAGCTTCCACTGCAACTGGAGCAGCAGCCACAAAAGCTGAAGGATCAGCCAAGAAGGCCTTCACCTGTGAAAGAAGATCATGTCAGTTGCGGACAAGGCACAGATTTTCCTGAAGGATCCAAAGAGGAGCAAGGAGATCTGGGTGCCCGACTTTGCTAGAAAGCAGCTTGGTTCCTCCAAAACGAATAAACTATGTCTGAAGGCTTATTAAATAGTCTTCACCCCTCCGGCACCCACCAGATAAGCTAGGCAATAAGTCCCAGAGTATATTGACAAAATTGCACACCCGTGCCCCTACCTTTGGTCCATGCTTTCTTAGGCCCAAGAATAGACTACTGCAATGCCCTCTACATGGGGCTTCCCCTGAGGCCGATAGGGCAGTTTCAGCAGGTTCACAATACGGCAGTCAGGCTACTGGGCCGAGTTAGCAAATACCAACATACCTGCCCAACTCTACCTGCCTTACACTAGTTACCTGACTTCTTCAAGTTGATGGTTCTAACATATAAAGCTCTAAATGGTTCAGGACCCTCAGGATCTGACAGAACGCCTTCTTCCAGAAAGAACTACCTGCTCTACTCGTTTGGCTCATGCTGAATGTCTGTGAGCCATCACCTCCGAAAGAGGCCTGGAGGGAGAAAACTAGAAACCAGGCTTTCTCCAGTGTCATACCCAGACTCTGGAATCAACTACAGTACCTCCAGATATCCACCCAGCCCCCACTGGCAACTTTTAAAATGCTGGCTGTCCAGACAGAAAAATACCTCTCCGAACAGCCAGTTACCAGTGTGGGGACGAAGTGGATTCCATCAATGGAATCTCAATGAAATTATTAGCCACCAAGACTATCACATGACCATTAAAAATTCTTAACGTGTAAACATTTAGTTGTTGTGATATCTTATTATGTTTTATTGTGCTGAATTTAGTTTTATGTTTGTAGGAATGTCTTATTGTCTCCTTATATTACAAACAACACATTCCAGGCCCTTGCAGTTTCAAAGATACAACTCAAATCACTACGAAGAAATGACAGATGAAATCAAAGACGTTAAAAAAAACCTGCTGAATAATATTTCTTAGTTCTGAATAACCGAAACAGCACATTGCCCCCCAGAAATGCAAAAGTATTCCAAAAACATCAGAAGTACTGTACATGCAAAGGTAATCTACTGAGACTTCTGCACTGCAGATACTGAATGATATAAACTGGGTTGTGCTCATAAGATAGTTTAAAACCAGTATTACCTCTTCTCAAAACCTAAGAATTTAGGGACCGAAACACCAACTGGCCAAAGCTGTGCTCCACTGTGCATCCAAGCTCTAGAACACTTTTACCAGGTCACCTTCAAACTACCCAAAGTGTCACTGATTACCTTTTCAGCTAGTGGGAAAGAGTAGTCAGTCTCCACAGCTACAGCCAGAACCCGTTTGTACCCATTGATGATGGAGTGGGGCACAGAGGCAACAGTCGGGTAGCCAATCTGCAGGCAGACACTGGCAACATTACGGACACCCTGCAGAAGAAAACAAGAATGAAGCATTCTGAACACATTCTCAACCACTAAACAGCAAAGAAAACAAATCTATATGCCAAGCCTGCCTCCCCTCCTGCCTCGCTCCCCATCTTCCTCCCCGAGATCGTAGCAAAGATGTGTTGTGACCCAAGTTGGAAGTCTTCACTTACTTCCAGGAAACGTCCATGGAGAGTCTCCTCGGTGATGTCCAGAACCTCCGGATTGTAAATGCTGCCATTATCGAACACCTGCTGGATGACAAGCCCAAAGGAGAACGGGGAGATGTTCAACATGTTCAGCAAGGTGGCTTCGCTGGCACCCACTTTGTCTCCGGTCTTGATCAGCTGCACATCGCTCTGAAAAAAAGAGAGGGAGAGGGAGAAATGCAGAAAATTAAACACGGGAAAAAATTTCAAGATCTCAGCAAGGTAGCAAGTATTTTACTGTGGCAGCATTAGGTTCAGAGAGGGCACACAGCAGGTGAAAAGAATCTTAACCTCTTCTTCAGATATGTGAAAGATAAGAGGACAGGACACATAAACAAAGACACCAGTTCTACACCTTGTATAATTCATGTAATTGTAATGTAGATGCAACACTGTGGAACCAGCATCAAAAGGGCTGTACTCAGCCAAAACAAAGGCCAGGGATTTGGGCCTTCAGTTTTCCAGTGTTCAGATTTCAACTGCCAGTTGTCCAAAACATATGGAGGCCCAAGGTAAAAGGTAAAGGTTCCCCTTGACATGTAGTCCAGTCGTGTCCGACTCTAGCGCGCGTTGCTCATCCCCATCTCCAAACCAGAGAGCCAGCGTTTGTCCAAAGACAATTTCTATGGTCACGTGGCCAGCGTGACTAGACACGGAATACCGTTCCCTTTCTACCGTGGTGGTACCTATTTATCTACTTGCATTTACATGCTTTTGAACGGTTAGGTTGGCAGGAGCTGGGACAAGCGACAGGGGCTCACTCCATCGCCTGGATTCGATCTTATGACTGCTGGTCTTCTAACCTTGCAGCACAGAGGCTTCTGCAGTTTAACCCGCAGCGCTACCACATCTCAAAGGAGGCCCAAAGACCCATCTAAATATTCCATTCCCATAGTGGTTAACAACGCACCTTCAAGAAATACAGAAGCAGAATATCATCCCTCCCCATAAAGTAACAAGGAGCCAAGGAAAAGAGCCGAGCGAATGAATGCTGCATCGAAACAAACTGAAGATCCATGTGTGCTAAATGCCCAAAAGAAGGATCGAAAATGCCAGGCTAATGAGCTTCCACTGGCCACTTCCTTACCAGGATTTCAATGGTGCCTCTGGAGATCTTGGTGGTAATACCCAAAGCCTGGAAAAAGGAAGTCTTCTCAGGGCCCAACCCAGTATTTTGAGCTGGCACAGTCACATCACAGGGGGCGATGGCGCCGGCACGAGCAGCAGCCGGTACCTAAAAAAGAGAGAAATTATACTCATTAATTTGGTTACACTGAGATGTACAAAAACTCCTGAACAGACCATTATACCAAACTGAGAAGATTATTACAACATGAGGCAGCACGGCTCCACTCCTGAAAGAAGGATGATGGAAAGAAGAACTCCTGGCCATCTAATGTTCTGGACCTCAACCTTCAGCTGTTCCAATCAGCGTGGTGAGGGGTAAAGAGGTTATGAGAGTTGGAATCCAAAATGTATGAGAGTTAAAAGGTTCCCCACTCCTATACTGCACTCAACAAGCAGTCACAGAATGTGACACTAACCAAGCTGTATCAGATTAGTAATTAAAGCCACAATTTAACTGAATCTTTACACTGGTGTAAGTACAATGCCTAACCTGAAGCTGCAAACAACTACTACATGCACCTTAAGCCACAATTTAACTGAATCTTTACACTGATGTAAGTACAATGCATAACCTGAAGCTGCAAACAACAACTACTACATGCAACTTAGTAAGTCAATTGGTCTGTTAACCAGAAGCTAGTTGCTGCTCTAAATTATGCGTCTACACTTATATCAGCATAACTATTTTATTGGGTCCTAGCCTGTGCATTGTTAACAATCTTACTTGTTAATATTCCCCTGGAATAATGATGCAGTTTTATTTGCTCAGTGTGAATGCAGACTTGGCCTGTTAGCTCTTTTTCCCCCCTAGGTAAAACCTGTGCAGAGAAACTACGTTTGTTTGGAGTTTTTGGAAGACAGCTCCTAGCTCAATACACTTACACAGAAGCATATTTAAAAAGTAACTTGTAGACGCTCAGTCAAACACTTGATCTTTAGTTAATCACATTCCAGGGCTGAATTCTAAATTTTTCTAAAAGGCTGTTAATAAAAGTACACATAGTATATATTAAATTTTCTGCTCAGAACTACTCTGTGATGCAGGCGAAACAAAGCAGTGTTATGCAGAATGCAATTCAACAAAATTCACAACTGAGCAGTTACTCAAAGGATGCTGATGCTCAAATACTCCATGTGACGAAACTAGTTGTCCAAGAAGCAGTGTTATGCAGAATGCAATTCAACAACATTCACAACTGAGCAGTTACTCAAACCAAGGATGCTGATGCTGAAATAGACCATGTGACGAAACTGGTTGTCCAAGCTTCCTCATAGAGTTTGGAATGGACTCATCAACTCTTTCTAAAGTATGGCTGCCAGTTCTTACCTTGTTGGCCAACAGCATGTCCCTGATTTCAGTCAGATCTTCCTTGGTGAACACAAAGCCCACGTTGCCACGAATATGAGGCAGAAGCCTACAAGAAACAGCACAGCCCATTCAAAGCACTGAAAACTCAGCCTCTGTGAATGCAAAAGGTTCAACCCTCCAGGAAGAGCAGAGAAAGACCTCTAACTTCAAAATCCTGAGCCTCCAAGAAGAAAAAGGGGAGGATAGAAGAGCTTTTCATTCAAAGGTTGCACTTCCTCCAGAACCAAAGCCACTGGTGGGCAGATTAAGTCAAAAGCAGATAGGTCACCTATTCATTATCTCCCTGACTGAAGAGTAGACCGACCAGGGACAGATAGACCCTTGCTGCTAGCATCTACACATTTAAGGATTTTTGAAACCCCAAAATCTGTATACATTGCAGGGTGGAGAACACAGAGCCTCCAGGCTATTTGCTGCCATGTGACAGCCTAGATTCCGTAGCAGGTGGTTCTTTCCCCTTCCAAACATATCTGGGAAGCAGAGTGGGTATGTGGACCCCAACTGCCGACCCAACATACTATGCTGCCCTCAACTCAAGCAATATGGCCCACCACTGGAAATGATCCAGAACAAATAAGCTGGGGGAGGAGAACATTTTTGACAGCTTTGGGGCCTTTCTCTTTGTTCTGGGACATTTCAGGGGTGTAGAAACAGCCTGGTAAGGTGCATGATTCCGAACACTGGCGTACACAATACAAGGAACAATTAAGTAACTTGTGCAAGCTCTCCCTCATTGTGAAGGCCCTCCAAGCGTGCTGGGCTTCATTCCACCCTCCTCAGCCAGCAACAACCATCCTGGTTGAGTATGATGGGAGTTACGTTCTATCAGAAAGAAAGATCAGCATAAAATGTATTTGGACAGCCTGCCTGGCCTGGCCTTTGACCTGCAGGATAAAGTGGCTTGCTAAACATCGTCCTCGGAGCTAGGAAAGCTGGAAGGGACCCTTGTGCCCATCAAGCAACACTCTAGTTCAGGTAGAAAGGAGCTACTTTTCTTCAATGTACGAGAGCTCAGAAGGATTTGCATCACTCACTTCTCCAGAGCAGGATTGTTTTCCAGGTGCCCCCGGATCGCTTTGCGCATCATGGTGTTCTTCCCCATGAGGACGACGGCCTTCCCACGCAACGACATGCGGATTTGCTGCATCTGCTTGGAACCAACGTTGTCTGCTCCCACAATGAAGCATTTTGGATAATCATCCAAGAGTTGCTACAAAACCAGAATGATTGCCTTAATTCAGACAAGTAATCTCTGGGCCTCTGGCTTACGCAGGACACAGATCTTGAGTATGGAAGAAGAGTAACTTATGCAACGACTCTAACCATGTTCCACTTCAGGAATAAGACAAACAATTATAGACACCCACACAGTGGTTTCTATTACTTCTGGCAAAAGCTATACAGTTACCCACTGATGTTCACATCTGATCTGTTGATCGTAATAAAATATTATGTTACCCACTGATTCACTTATCCACTCATTCACTGACTGACAGCACAAAAACTGTAGGTGAAATACCACGTTTATAAGACTTCTAAGAAATTGCAAAGTAGTACAAGCTCTTTAGACATCTTTGACAGGAAAAGATGCTGCAATATGGAAAAGGCAAAGGAAGAGGTCATTAAAACAGTGGTTCTTAACCTTGGGTCCTCAGATGTTCTTCGACTAAAACTCCCAGAAGGCTTCACCGCTAGCTTTGCTGGCCAGGATTTCTGGAAGTTGTCAAGGTTGGGAACCACTGGCTTAAAAAATGAGTCAGATGTTAGACCCACAGTTGTGGAGCACCGACTGCAACCCTTGTCATCAGAAAGTTTTTCCTAACATATGGTCAAAATCTCTTTACTTGTAATTTGCATTCTAATCTCTGAAGCAGCTGAAAGCAAGCCCTCCCCCTCCTTTGAGGAGGAAGTGTCATCTCCTGTCAATTTTTTATTAGACTTGTACGCTCACTTGCCCACTTGTCCAAGTAGCGGCCTTGCCATGAGCTGGGCAGGATAAAAATACAATCACTCAAACAAAAATACATTTGAGCTAGCAGCCCATCAGTGATCCCGAAGCAGCTATCTTACCACTTCACTGAAATACCCCCAGCTGTCTTCCAACACCGAGTATTTGTTTGTGCAAAAAAAACGCTTTATGGTTCTAGCTGGGATCCAAGAATTCTTTCATAAACCCCAACGCAGGGCTTATAACCATTACTTTGTCATGTTATATTTCTGATTTTTAGAAGCACCTTCCTTAGCACTCTCACTTGCTTCACCCCCTTTTCCACACAGGCTGCTCAGCAAAACCCCTCATCCCCATTCCTGTGGCTTTGCCAACACGGAAAGAGGAGAAAACGGGGACCCTGCCTGATTTTGACAGGGGAGCACTCTGCACATGTTCAGAGAAGCCCTCGCTGGCTTCCTGACACAATCTTCCCAAAGGACTTCCAGGGAGAGGGGGGCGGCGAACGGCAGACCGGAAAAGGGCCCCAAAACAAGACCCCCCGACCCCACCCCAGCCCCGAAGCGAGAGGGGCACATGGGACTTACGATGATCTTGAGGAAGTAGTTGGACTTCCACGTGGCTCGGTCTTCCCTGGGCATCTCGGTGTCCCAAGGATCGCGCGGCGGCGGCGGTTTAAAGACTCCTGGATTTCCTAAAGGCGCAGATTTCGAAAATCTCGGGTCAGAAACGCTGGAAGCGGTCCCCTTTGGATTTCCTAAAGGCGCAGATTTCGAAAAACTCGGGTCAGAAACGCTGGAAGCGGTCCTCCCCCTTTTTTTGGACTACAACTCCCAGAATCCCCCAGCCAGCAGAGCGACCGCGCTCGGGCCTACCCTTTCCCCTCCCCTCCCCCCCCCACAGGCTCAACCTCGGCCTAGCCTAGGCCGCGAAACCCGCTCCCGCCGCGACGCTCACCTCACGAGGCCTCCGTGGAAAAGGGGAGAAGCGGCCGCCCGCCTTCCGCTTTTATAGGCCGAGGGGGCCGCGACCAATCGGAGGCGAGCGACGTCGGTCCTCACTTCCGCCCCGCTCGCTACGGATTGGTCGGGCGGGCCCCGGAAGCAAAAAGCTACGAGTGCTGGGGCCTGAGTGGCTGGCCGAACTGCCCTTCCAAAAAATAAAATAAAAATGGGAGCGTTTTTCCTCCCCGCCTTTTAAAGCGGTAGTGATAGGGAAAGCCTTTAAAAAAAAAGAAGAGTTTCTTGGTCGAGAAGTGGTTGTTGCTGGGTGTGGGCAAGTCGCCCTCGATTTATGGCAACCCCACGAATGAGTGATCTCTAAAGAAAAAAATCCTGCCCCCGAGAGCCCTGGTCATGCCTTGCAAACCCAAAAGTGTGGCAACCCCACGAATGAGTGATCTCTAAAAAAAAAAAAATCCTGCCCCCAAGAGCCCTGCTCATGTCTTGCAAACCCAAAAGTTAGTGGTTTCTTTTAGGGAGTCAGTCCATCTCACATCGGGTCTTCCTCCTTTCCTGCTGCCTTCCACTTTTCCCGGCATTAACGTCTATTGGGTCTTCCTCCTTTCCTGCTGCCTTCCGCTTTTCCCGGCATGATTGTCTCGTCCAGAGAATCTTGCCTTCTCATGATGTGCCCAAAGTAGGGCAGCCTCAGTTTCAACACTTGGTAGAGAGGAATGGCTGGAAACAGAGGATCGGTTGCACAACACAGGTCAAAACCTGAAGGGAGGTTGAGTGGGAAGTTTCGGGGAAGCCTAGTCTACAACCACAGCTTTTGAAGAGCTGTGCCCGCCTGAGGCGCTTGGGCCCCAAATGCAGACCGGACTTGGTTCAATATGACATGTCCATGAGGAGTGGAGGGGTCGTAACCCCCACGCAGGTAGTGGGGGTCAGGATGGATCAGCATCTGCCCTCAGGTGGCCACCAGGGGTGGAAGAAATAGCCGGGATCATACAAACCCTCTGTTGCAGCAGCTCCACTGGCGGCCGATCCATTTCTGGGCTGAATCCAAAGCGGTGATTCTAACCTATAAAGCCTAGAATGGCTTGGACCCGAGCCATCTCAAAGACCGTGTGTGTCTGTCTCCCTTTATGAGCCTTGTGGGGTGGCTAAGATCATCAAGGGAGGTCCTGCCATTTTAACAGGTGCATCTGATGGGGACACAGGAGATGAGGCCTTCTCTGCGGCTGCTCACACACCTGTGGAACTCCCTCCCACTGGAGGCCAGGCTGGCCCCGTCTTGGCTGTCCTTCCGCAAGCAGCCAAATGCGACCTTTCTCTTCGGGCAAGGTTTCCCTGAGTAAATTGGCTGCTGAGTGGGGTTTTTAAAATGCATTGTGGTACCTTATTGCTTTGAATGTGTTGTGTTGCTCATGTTTTTTTTAAATATGGCATTTGTTTGATCTTTTTGTATTTGTATATTCACCATTATTAGTTTTCAGAAAGGCGCTCTGAATGATGTAAGCCAGTGGTTCTTAACCTTTGTTACTCAGATGCTTTTGAACTGCAACTCCCAGAAACCCCAGTCAGGACAGCTGGTGGTGAAGGCTTCTGGGAGTTGCAGTCCAAAACTCCTGAGTAACTCAAGGTTAAGAACCAGTGATGTAAGCCACCTTGGGTCCTTTTTAAAGGAGAAAGACAGGATAAAATATTTCAAATATGTAAGTAAATAAATAAAATAAAGTAAGTTATATGGCACATCCTGCCCTACATTGCACAGGATGCGCCAACCAACTCTTTTGCTACTTTTGCATGCCATAGGGCACACTGGAGGATTGTTGTTGTTTTTGCCACTATGAGAATGTTGTGACAACATGAAGACCTGCAACCTATTATGCTTGCTGCCTCAGACAGCAATATCTCCTGAGCTAGCCCTGTTTCATAGACTACCTGAAGTAGGCTGGACCATGTGCTGCCCCCTCCAGAGGCTGGCGTATAAATCCTAACATTCCTTATCCCTATCTTAGGGCTAAGACGGGACCGGGCAGTCCAACCACATCTGGAGTGGCCCAGCCCTAGTCTAAATCGAATCCAAGAGGATCAGGTATGTAAAACGCACTCCACTCCCACACTGTCAAAGAAGGCCACAATCACTGACACTGAAAATTATCATAAAATTTTATTAGCATCATCACAGGACTGTAACACGGAAGAGGGCAGCAGAAGTAAAAGGTTACAAATGGGAAAATGGGGAGGTGGGGGGGAGACAATGGTTATTCCACAGGACAATCTCCCGTTCTCCGACTTTCCCAGAAACTTTAAATTTAGACCCATTTCATTCTGATTTATTTCAAGAGTCAAAGGAGGGAGGTGGAAAACAAGAGCACAAAAACCTAAAATGTCAAAGCTCTCTATTAGATTTTTTTTTCCAAAGGAAAAACAAAACAAAACAATGGCACACCTTATTCTGAGGCTCACCCAGGGCAATTCTCTCCCAGGGCGGTCCATAAACCAGCAATACTGTAGTCTATCTTTTCCTTAGGGAGACACAGACCATACCTGACTTCAAACAGCATCACCTGTTAAGAACCTGCAAAACTGAGCAAGTTTGGTTCTTCATCTCAAACAGCATCTGAGCCACCGAGACAGTGGCCTTCCGCCTCGCTCCAACAGCCGACTGGTACAATATCACTTCATTTGCAAGCACTCCTCGCCCTGTATACATGGCGATGTGGATAATATTCCCAGTTCACAGCGGCGCAGAACATTTTCACAACTCTCAAAAGGGCACCATCTACGAAACTGTAGCCTTTTAGAACTTTTTTCTTCTTCTTCCCTGAGGCTTATTATTACTTTTTGGCTTGCCTGGCATTGCCTCGTGCCCAGAGTTTGGAAACTAAATTGGGGTGTGGGGAGGGGCTAAGCCATGCGGGCCGATGGTTCTGGGAGATCCACCAAACAAACGACCGTTTTTAAGTTCACAATTACTGTAAGCTGTTTGGGTCCCTTATATGGTTAATGCAGTGGTGAAGGACGTGTGCTCCCATGTTGTAAAGCAGAGTGGACAGATGTGGGTTTCCAGATGCTGCTAGACTGCAGTTTCTGCCCTCCGCCATGTCTGCCACATTTACAGAAAAACTTCACCCAGCTTCTGTTTCGGGACTCCAGTTGCGAGGGGCCTCCAAATGCAAAGCAAAGCAAAATAACCATTTTCGGTACTGCCACAGGGCTTCTTAATTTTAACACAGTTTAGTGGCTCAGCCTGTCTTAATCCAACCCTTTCTTCCCCTGGCTAGGCCCTACGGAGTTCTTCTATTCCAATAATAGTTGGAAAGCTTCACATTCATGCGTGTATTGGGGTGGATGAGCTTTCTCGTCCTCCTGGAGGTGCTAAGATGCAGCAAGAGAAGTGGGCAGAAGGTGAGACAGCTTGAATTTTTGGCACTCCTGGATAGTGGTGGTGATAGGGGACACCTTGTTCTGTGCACCTTGTTCTGTTCCAGACTGAGCTCTGCATTTCTGCCTGCTTTTCTCTTGGGTACATTTCTGCTTAATCCCTGTGGACTTGAGACAAATGGCCTCCAAAAACACACTGGACAGCAATATGCAACATAGCAAACATGATAGTCTTAGCTCTCTCACACTGCAGGGTTAAACTGTGATACAGCTGTCCAAAAATATTATGTTAACGTTAATCAGGAAATCCACAGACACATCAGCCTCTGGAACAGATTACAAAACCTTATACATATTTGAATTCTTTTTCCTGATTAGGTAAGTGTAAGGCTCTCTTTGAAATCCTGGCTTTGAGGAAAAGGCAAATAATTCAAAGTACAGCAGTTTCTGAATTACTGTTTGTTTTAAAATCTGTTCCAGCTGAGCTCTGATCAATAGAAAAGCTACTTAAAAAGCAAAATTAATAATAATAATAATAACCACACACACACTCCTTGCACATTTTCCCCGTGTCCCACCCCACCGCACCCCTAATTTTAAAAAGACAATACTCATCATGTTAATAGTTGTGTTTAACAAAGCATCAAAGGCTATAGATGCAGGAACCAACACAACCAGGGCCCGGCCCAGAACGATCAAGATATGAAAGTCATTTGTTGAGAAAATTATTTCAAAAAACTAAACATTTTATATAAGAGATTTAGAAGTTGTTTTGTTATGAATTCAAAACTCAGTGTAGAAATCAGTTATATCACCATCCAAACACACAGTATTCGGTTTGATACCAAAAGTTAAGTCTCTCTCATACACCGTGTGAGAGAGAGAGAGAAGGAGAGAGAGAATGCACTGAGGCATGTATTAAAACTATTAAGCCAGTAGAAAAAAGGATTATTGCTCAGACTTCTGTCTCTGTAAAGGATACTTCACAATAGCCAAGAGAGAGGCTTGTGGAAGAACAGCAGAGACAGGACAGAAATTTAAAAAGGCAATGCTGAGAGATTTTCTCTCGCCTTCCAGGTGAACTCACAATACAGGTTGATTATATCTGCCCAAAACTCTTAGGTTAAGGGAGGCTAGGATGGTTCGCTCATCAGGATATCCTCCGAAAACAGCCGCTTCCCCAGCCTTGCCAAGAGCACCTTGGTTTGGGGGAGTTTTGAGGGCAGCCACAGCGGAAAATATAATATCTCAGAACAGGGAAATCTCCCGTTTGGCATGGGTGGCACAAACAAGTCAACAAACACGTACCCTCTGATCAGGCACCAGGGTTAAAGGAGCAAAGAGGGGGGAAATGTGGGGCCAGGAGGAGACTGCGATGCTTGTTGGCAAGGTTGCAAGGTTCGTATTCCTAAGACCCAGAGCGTGAAGCCGTTTAGTTTTTGAACGACAATTTCCAGACTCCCTCAAGTCACGCTCACGGGAGCTGCCGGTTGGGGGATTCTAGGAACTGGCATTCCCAAAAAGAACGCCAACAAGCTCTGCTCAAAACTCACCCGTCAAGAAGGCCATCGCTGGGTGGTGCTGGGCTGTGTGTTCTTACGGAGAATATTTCTTTTCTTGTGTCCTCAAGATGACACCATATTATTTACTAGCAAGAACACACAACACAGCCAACAGAGGTTGCCAATTCTCCTACCCAAGGTGGGCCAGGATGGCTCGACGGTCCAACTCATCAAATAAGGCAGGTTCTTGGTGTCTCCTTGCTAAAGAGGAGCTGCCAAATGACTGGTCCATTGGGCCTTTGTCTCTGGATTTAACCACCTTTCAAGAGCAGTGCTAAGCATCTCATTCTACCCTGTGTCGTTTCACCATGGACACACGGGTCTGCATGTGCACAGAGAGAGAGAGAGACAGAGGGAGAGAGAGAAAGAGACAGGGAGTCGCTCTTCTCCTGTTGTGAGACTACCAAGGCCTCCCGGCTCGCTGAAACGATGCGGCTCCAAAGATTTCCAAAGAAGCGAGATTTCCTTGCAGGTCAGCAGAAAAAAAAGAGGGCAGCGGGAGGGCCTTAACAGAAGAGTTTCAGGAAGCAGTTCTGACAGTACGGCTTGTCATTCTGCTCCTTGAAGGTTCCTTTGTTGAGCTGTTTGAGGCAAAAGGCACAGACAAAGTGTTCCGGGTGGAATTTCTTGCCCATGGCCGTGATGCAGCGCCCCGTGATGGGCTTCTGGCAGCCCGAGCAGAGGGAGCCGCGGCGTTCGTGGTAATGCACCTCGCAGTAGGGCTGGCCGTCATGTTCAAAGAAGCTGCCGTTAATAAATGGAGTGAAGCATTCCTGTTTGGGGGGGGAGAGAGAGAGAAAAACACACTGCAGTTGGTATTGGGGCTAAGAGAGCGTAAAGGTGGTAGCAGAGTACCGGTCCAAAGGAAGGAGGCTTGAGGGAACATTTGCAAAGCAATTCACAACCGCTCCCACCTCCTGTAATGAATGGTGGACAGCTGGGGGACAGATAATGCCATTGGTCTAATGGTCCCATTGCGTTTCCCCACTTAGTGGGGATGGGCAGTGTCAGAATTGACAGCCTGGACAACCTGGCGGTCCACCAGAGGTCACCTGCATATGAAAAGTGATCTCTGCTTTCCCGCATGTTATTCCTGTGGGTGCCAAAGCAAGTTTTGCAAACAAACCCGGCTCTGCAGAAAAACCGGGAAGTGAAGGACAATTTTGATGGTGTGCAGCCGGGGCTGTCCAGAGTTGATGGCCTGCAGTTCTTCAGCGATGACCACCCACAGGATCTCCTGACTAGGGCTGGAGGGAGGTGAAGGATTGCTCGCTCCACCCTGTGAGACCTTGTGCAGTCCAGTGGGACGAAGACTTGAGCTGGGGAGTGTTACATACAGCACTGATGTTACCTGTCTGTCATGGGTTTGGAGGGAAAGTTCCATCCTATGGGGAGTGGAAGGCGGGACATCAGGAGGAGGGGCTGTACTGTATATATATGTGA